CTCTTTTTCATGTTTCCAGGGGTTTTAAAAAGAAGAAAGGTACGTGAGCCGTGGTTGAGCCTGCTCTGTTAGTGGAGCACACACAAATATACATAGTTGGGGGGAGTTAACTACTCATAGGGTGGTTTGTGAGAACTAGTGGATAGGGGAGGAATTAGAAGATGCCAACAGCAGTGCTCTGCTCCCCATGGAAATATGGGAACCTAGAGTAGAGCAGAGCACGTTGTGGCTTTCTCTGCTCATGCCAGAGGTTTGCATTTAGGCAAAAATTTTAAAAAAAGGACTGTTTGACTGTTCAGAGAATGAGGCAGAGGTACAGTCTGCAGTCTGTGCTCTGATGGGGGGATCAGAGGTGAGGGATTTCTCCTCCCTCACAAGATATTCCGCGGGATGCCCAAGCTGTCAGTGTAGGTGAGGGGTGTAGTGACCAGGCTGAGTTGAGTGCAGGGGCCGTGCCTTTTCCCTCTCCTAATTGCCTGTTCCTTTTCTTCAGTTTGAGGGAGAAGCTGAAGGCGATTGCTCAGGCCACCTACGCCCACTCCCGGAACTTGGCCTACTTCGTGTTCACCTACAAGGGGCTCATGGCAGCGCAGTCCCGGCTGCAGGGGAAGAAAATCCCATTCCATGCTTTCCTTGCAGCCTGCATTGGGGGCTGGCTGGTGTTTGGTGAGAACAATCCCATCAACAGCCAGGTAAATGCACTCGCTGGAAGTTTCTTTGACCGGGAAAAACAGCGGGTGTGCAGGGAAGTGGTTGGTGGCTTGTTCCAGGTGGTTCTGACCGTGCAGCAATTACTCTTTTATCATGTTCTTTGCAGATTCTTGTTTTGCCTGCTCTGCACTCCAGTCCCAGAGGTGGTTGTGTCCCTCCATGAGTAGTTGGAGTGCTAAAAGCTCAGGTTTACCTTCAGAGCTGCACTGAATTCCTAGGGAGGCAGGCAGGTGATCCAAAGCTTTTGGGTTATCCCAGCTGTTGCCTGAGCTGTGGTCACTGACTCTGCTCCTGGTCTGCCCGTTGCAGGGTTAAACCCTTGAATGTGAGTGTTGTGAGTGTGGAACATGATCAGTTACTGAGCTGCACTGAACTAAACTGGTTAACTGACAAGGAGTTGGACTTTGATGATCCCTGTGGGTCCCTTCCAACTCAGAATATTCTGGGACAACTAAACAGGTTACACTGACAAAAGCTGCTCAGGGGATATTGGAGTTAAAGCTGGTTCTTAACACACAGTCACAGATTAATGAGTAAAACACAGAGATGCAGATTAGTCCAGAGTGTTCTTGAGCCTGGTTTTAGGCTGTGTCCAGGCTCCTGAGTTCAGATCTGCTTGGCAGGTGAACAGAGCTGCTCTGGGTCTATTCTGAGGTGGCATTAACTGAGCAAAGAAAAATTTGTGCAACTGCAAAGATGTGTTGCGTTAAGTTTAACTTGTCAATTGCTAAATTAGAGCATCAGCAGAGAAGCAGGACTTTGAGGATGCAGAGAAGACAACAAACACTTGTGGTTTTACAGACTGTTGGTGTGTGAACCACAGCCTGTTTGCTTTTAAGTCGGGTGAATCGTTCCCACCCCTCTCGGGTGGATTATGGCTTCTGAATCTCAGCCTGGCTGCTGTGTGAGCTCAGGTTGCTCACCCAAAGCTCTCTGGGTTTCTCCCCTGCAGATCATCATGTACCTGCTGTCCCGGATCCTGTTCGGCCTGTCCCGGCTGGCTGTGGAGAAGGGCTACATCCCACAGCCCAAGCAGGATCCCTTCCCCCTCGTGGCTGCCCTGGTGTGGGGGACAGTGCTGTGGCTCTTTGAGTACCACAGAGAGACTCTGCAGCCCTCCCTGCAGTCCTCCATGACCTACCTGTATGAGGACAGTGAGGTGTGGCACGACCTGTCTGACTTCCTCCTTTACAACAAAAGGACAGACAGCAAGTAGGTGCTTCCCTGCAAAGCACCTTTGGATGGGATGGGACCTCTGGGCAGCTGAGGGGAAAAGGTTATTCTGTTGCTCTTGACCTGGGATTTTTTTAAATTAACATCTATCAAGCAGAGTTGCCTCTTGTATCCCGGCCAAAATGTTCTGACTAGTCTTTTGGCTCTGTTTAGAGCAAGTAAACACCCCACAGAAACTGTCTGCAGAAACGCACACCCCACAGAAACCTGCTGCAGTCTTTTTTAAGAGGCCTTTTTTTCCCCTCTGTGTTTGGGTTTGAGGTTTTCTGGGTATTGTTTTTTAAGAAACTAAATGTAACTTATAAAGAGACAGCCTGACAGTAAGTGCAGAGTATGAAAACATGTTTTAGGGCTCACCTGAATGCTCACAAGTGTTTTTTCTCTGTGCTGCTGTGCTCACCGTGGTGTGGTGGGAGTGGGGGACATCATGAAAGCAGGGATGTTATTTTTTCATTGCTGTGGATGGCTGGAAATCCTGCTTAAACTGTTACAAGGACACATTACAAGTTGTGTGCTCCTTGAGAGAGTTTATCTGGATCTTTCCCTCTGGGAGACAATAAAATATTTGAGAATAAAACTGTTAAGATTGTCTTGTACAAGCCTGGTAAATCATGCTTGGCAGGACTATTTTTGCTCAGTTTCTCCCATGCACTTGGGCTGAATCTGTGCCTCTGCAAAGTGCACTAATTAATACCCTGTAATTATTTTAAACTTACTTGTAAAGTTTTTAAAAGCTGCTTGAACTAAATACCAAAATCAGTTATGCAACTTGGGCTCCTCTGCAAACAGGCCGGGGCGTGTTCCCGCCCTCAGATCTCACACTGAGCTTTGAACAGGCACTTTTATTTTGGGGGAAGGCACACATGGGTTTCTCTCAGGGCCAGGATCTGCCCTCCACAGGAGTGGCAGGGGTTGGCTGTAATCAAATTGGAATGTACCTGTAGTTTGTGCAGGTTTGCTGCTGGGCCAGGTTGAGGCCATGGATGAATATATGAGTGACTCTTAAAACTGCTGAGCCCCAGGATGGTGCAGCACACCCTGGGCTGTAGCAGAAGATTGACTAAACAACTGAGAAAGCACAAAAACTGCTTTAAAATTAATAAATTCAAGCTGTTAATACACTGCCATGTGACACTACACGGTTCAGTCGATGATGTGCATTCAGATAATTCCTGACGCTCTGGTTTGATGTGGTGAAGTTTCCAAGAGAGTCATTAAGTTCCCTGTTCCCTTTTGGCTTGGCTGGGACTGTTTTGTTTGCTCTCCCTGTGTCCATTTGCTTGTTCCTGAGCTGCTCATGTCGTTGCATAATCGTGCTGGTGCTGTTTTCATCATGTTTTGAACTCTCTTTACCTTCCAGGCTCTGGCAGTTTGTCCTATGCAAAGGTACAAATGAAACAGTACATTTAACTCCAGGTGGCTTCTGAGTAGAAAAAAATTCCCAATTCCTTCTTAAGTGATTTTTCCTTGTCCTCCTAAACTCTTTTGTTACTCTTATGCATATTCAGAGTGCTGCTTTATTCTTTGTCTTCCCACTTTTCTTTGAGCTCGTACCATGCAAACCCCTGATTGTACAAGGTGTCCAAAAAACAAGATACTTCTTTGCCATAATAACTGTCTGAGGTACCTTTAACTCCTAGTTTCACCTGCTATTACAGTCTGGACTAAATACTTCAATTGGAACATTAATCAGCATTTAATCAGACCCCAGGAGAGTTATAAAAGTCAGGAATTGGGTTTGTTTCTTTGTGGTTAAATATTTTTCTTGGCATAGATAAGCTTAAAGATTCAGATACAGAAAAACTACTGAAGCTACAGATCAGGTCTGATTCCTTTATAAACATCTTTATTTGCTGGGTAGCTGAAGCATCACGATTTTCCTGTCAGAAGCCTCAATGTTTTTCCAAATGAGAACATTTGTATTCTGCTAATATTGCTGAATTCCTCCAAGCTTTGATGGGATTTCAGAAAACCCTTCCACAACCTGACAGCTGTGGCTTGGGAATTTCTCCCTAAAACTATTAGACTCACAAATCCTTGACCGTGTGTAATTGTTGCAGCCAAGGATGGCACGGGGCTGGTTCTGTGAGAAGTTTTTAATCTTGTTTCATTTGTAGCTGGTGTTTTCTTCCTCTGAGAAAGGCTTGTGATTCCCTTAGAGGCGAAGTAATTTCCTTTTGCTGGTAGTGGTACCACTGCTGCTGGAGTTCTGAAGGACAAGTGGCCTGTCCTTCGTACCCAGACGTAGAGTCTGCGCTCTCTGGAAGATGAATCCAAGCCAATACCCAGTTTATAGGATCAACCTGGCAGCAGCGACTGTGTCACTGGTTCAAAGAAACGCCCTTTTTCTCCTGGGAATGTCCCCCCGGCCTCACTTTGCAAGCACACTGTGCCCGAGCCTCCAGCCATCTGCCCTGGAGCCCCAGGAAGCAGCTGCCATCCCTGGAAGCCGCGGCTGGTCCCTGCCTGCCCAGCCGGGCGTTGGGACCGTTGGTGTTCCCGCTGGGCCGGGGGCAGGACGTAAAGCTGCAAGTCACTGCTTTCCCCAGGGAAGTAATTGGAACAGCTCCTTAATGACACCAGCCCCCAGTGCTGTCCCTGGGACCAGATAGCTGGGGATGAGCCCCTTCTGCCGCCAAGGTGTCGGAACAATGCGGGCGTGTAGTGGGGAAGTGAACTAGAAGTAATTTGTCTGAGTCAGACTTTTGGGCTACGTAAGTTACACTCCCTGCCCTCCCCCAGGGCATTGTGTGGGGAGTTGAGCCCCCTGTTTGGGTTCCTTCTTTTATTAGCATTAAAACCAGAAGAAATAAAGAGACAGTTGGGAAGCCACCTGCGAATCAGCCAAGTGCTTAAGGATCACAAAGAAGTGCCATTTTCTCTCCCCCCCCAGCCCTGACTGGTTTTGAATTTTAAGATGAACATGGGTTTGTTTGTCTACACCAGTTTGTTTTCTCTTGTTATTTCTTCTTTGACACCTGGCTTACGCTGAGTGTCTCTAAAGAGGAGCAGAGTGTCTCAATCTTAGCTCAGTTCATAAAAAATTAGGATTACTGGATAAAAGTGATGTTTAAAATGATACTTCTTCAGATTTTAAGCCTCTTTTGGAGGCAGTTTTAAAGGTTAATGAATCAAACTGATCAAAAGTTTTCAGCAAGCCTGAGCTTCTCAAGCAGGCTGACTATCCTGAGCTATTAATCATTTATTTTATGGAGGAACAAAGCAGGCTCAGGGTTGTTTACTGATGCTGCCTGCTGCCCTGGCATACCCACTGTGCTTCCCTTCCCTTTGGAGGACACCTTGTGTAGTGCTGCTGGCTCTCAGGATGGCTGGAGAACCGTTTCCGGGACAATTACATTATTTAACAAAGGTGAAAATTAAATGGGTGCCTGACATTTGGGTTAGCTAAGGTTTTCTGTGCTGTGTTTGATCCTGTCAGCTAAGGAGAGCATATTTCTGATAGGAAAACCTGTGCTTGTCCAATAAGTGCCACAGAGAAGCTCCTGAAAAGGTGTGAGCCTGTGTTTGTAGCATGACAACAATAACCAGATAAATGTCCATGTTCAGGACAGGTATCATAGAATCATGGAATGGTTTGGGTTGGAAGGGACATTAAATATCTACTCCAACCCCCTGCCATGGGCAGGGACACCTTCCACCAGCCCAAGTTGCTCCAAGCCCTATCCAACCTGGCCTTGGACACTTCCAGGGATGGGGCAGCCACAGCTTCTCTGGGCAACCTGGTCAGGGTGGAGAGGCTGCAGAAGAGCTTTGATGTCAGTGCTGTGAGACTTCCTTGCCCTGGGAGAATAGATCAAAGCTCTGCTTTAGAACAGGTTGGGTGTGGGTGGAAATGCAGGGATGATCCCTGGCTGGTGAAAGAGATCCAAGCCAGGCCTCTGTGGGGACCCCCATGACCCCCTGTGCACACTGAGCTTGTGGAGTGACCAGAACCCTGTGGAGATACCCTCACACAGGAGAAACTCCTGGGATTCCAACTGATTTTCACTGCATCAGCACAAATGTGACCTTTGGATAATACCCCGAGCCGTGTGCTGCTTCCTATTGCTCAGGTTGTGTTTGTGTTCCTGGCTCGTGCCAACCTGAGCAGAATGTGTTTTCTGATGCTGCTTTTGAAATCCAGCAGATAAGGAGGGGGAGGGAAAATAAGGCATAATGTCTGTCTGCCACTGTTAATGTTTCAGGGGTGCTAATCTTGAATTGTCAACCTGTGTGTTCATACCAGATTGTTGGAGGAGGTAACTTCTTTCTTTACTTAGAAGAATTTTCATCTGTCCCTGGTGATGAGGAAAGGAGAAAAGCAAATTCAAAGCTCTCTAATACAAGTATTATTACCTCTCTTTTTGGCATATAATTTGTGCTCATAATTGCTGTGTAATCCAAGCCCTGATTTTCTGATGGTGTAGAATAAAGTTCTAAACTCAGGTAACTTGTATGACACTGATCAAAATGCTTGTAGGAATATCTCAGTTTTTGGTTTTAAAACATGCAAAAGAGGGGGCAGTGGGTTGTTGATGTAGCTCTGTCTATTCTGAATTGATTTCTTATGTGGATTTTATCTGTATAATCACTCTTTGAATATTACAATACCATGCTTTCTATAAGAATAAAAAACCCTAATTTTTTGTGGTTTTTTTTACTGTCATCATTATTAAGCTAAAATATATGAAGTGATGCTTGATTATTGCATGTCTCTGGTCGTGTATATAGAAGAGCAATGCATGAGGTGCATTTTTGGCATCACTTTTGCTCCTGTGTTACCAGCATTGACCACACATTCAGATTTACCTCCTGCAGCGCTGGCTGGGATAAGGATGCCAGCTGCAGGAACAAATTGGGGTGGCTGTCATCCCTTACCAAACACTCCTCTTTGGGGCAGGAGCCTGTGGCAGGACCCTCTGCCAGAGCAGGGCACAGGGCACAAGGTTGTACCTGGTCTGCCCCTCAGATAAAATAGGGACATACACAAATATGGAAAATAAGGATGTGTGTGGGTGATCTCACTGCTTCTTCCAAGCTGTAAAGGGAACTGCTATGGGAGTGGGGATGAAGCAATCCCTGTGTGAGGAGCTCCCTATGGATGGTACAGGCAGGGGAAGGAGGTCCCCCTTGCCAGGGGAGCACTGAGTGTCTGTAAGACAAAAGCTCCTGCTTTGTAGCTGCTGGGATACTGGAGTGTCCAGCCTGTGCCTGTGAGAAGCCAAATTAACACCCTCAAATTGATGCCAGTCCTGCCTTGAAGTGATTTTTTACCTCCTCACAAAGCATCATACTCTCTGAGCCCTTCTTCTGCTCCAGGTGAAGCTCTGAGTCACCTACAGGTTTTGCTCTGACTCTTCACCTGCTTTTTGGGTTCCCAGTTCCAGTGACCATGCTCTGAGCCTTCTGGGAAGGGAACTTGGGCTGCTTTGTCACTAGAGCTGAGTAGAAGCTGAAGCACAGAAGGCAACATCAAGGGGTATATTCCCAAATTACTCCTTGATGACTCCCAAGAAGCACTTCAGCCTCTCCATTCCTCCACAAGGCTTGAGTGAAGGAAATGGAAGAGCCCTGTGGAATGGAGTGGCTTTTATCCATGGGGCTGGGAAGTGTGTGTTTGTACTGCTCTGCCTCACAGAGGCTGGGACAAAATTGTCCTGTTTGGGTGTGAAGAGCAGAGTGGGGGGTGAATGAGCTCTGTGCCCCTGTTGCTTCCACTGAAAGACTCCATGGATTGGTGTGAGCTCTGATAACAGATGCCATCCTATGAGAGGAGGAACTATCACTGCTGAGTCTGTTGTGCCCAGCATCCAAGAGAGTAGCTGGCGTAGTCATCTGTAAACAATGCAAGGGAATAGGCAGTTCCTGGCTCTTGGGACTGGGCTCTAGGAGGAGACACCTAAGCCAGGGATGCTGTCCTTCTGCCACAAGCAAGCTTAGATACTCTAGGTAATTTGTGCTACCAGAAAATCGCTTTGGTTCCTGTAGGACAAAGGCAGTGGCTCAGGTGGTGGAGAGTGGAGCAAGAACAGGTGAGGGGGTGAGGTCAGGACAGAACTGGGGGGCTCTGGGCTTTCCCAAGCTGTCTGTCCCCTCTGCAGTGAGGTCTCCAGGGCCTCTTGCGCTGAGAGCTGCACCCTCATGGGAACAAATCAAAGCACTGGGAACAGGAGCTATGGCAGGAGACGCTGGGAGAAGCCCTGCTGCAATCATTCCATGTGACAGCTCAGCACACTCCATGTGGGAACTGATGAAAACTGGACCAACTGCGATGACAAGGACAGTAAATGTGTTCCTGGGACACCCACATGCTACACTTAACTGAGCACAGGGATGTAGGTTTGTATCCTGCCTGCTCCTGCTGCCAGGAGATGATTTTCCATGGCACCAGCTCTGGCTCCACCTGCAGCCCTGCTCCACATTTTTCTATCCATGCAGAGACCAGCAGACACCCCTTGACCTGCGTCCACCCCATTGTGCAGGGCAGCCAAACCCACCCAAACTCAGGGACTGTGGTGGGGTAAATCCTGTTGTGGTACAAACTGTCCAAACATCCTTCCTGATCCTCTCCAGGACCAAGTGTGACCGTGGAGACAGGGCTTTATCTGCGTGCAGCACCCGCCAGACAGCTAATCTAGGGAGCACGTCTGCACTCCTTTGCAGGGCTGGCGAGGCCGGGGGGAGGCTGCAGCTGTGCAGGAGACGGGATTCATCTGCTTCCCCTCATATACATGCAAGGAAAGCCCCTGCCCGCCCCTCTCCCGCCAGCGTTCGCCTTTCATTTGTCTCCACAGCCGCCCTTTTTCGCGCCACTGAAAGCCCTGGAGAAGTTGCAGCGCAGCCAAGCAGCTCCGGGGAGAGGGGGCAGAGCTGCTGCCCCCCCGGATAAGCTCCCGCATGAATTAGGGGAGGACCCAGCCTTTGTGAGCAGAGCGGGAGCAGCTGGTGCAGCAGCTGTGTCCCAAACCCCGCTGCAGCCCAGGAAGCGCCTGGCTGGGGCTCCCCAGGGATGGGGAAAGCACTGCCAGCCATGGGCTCCCGCCAGGCTGGTGGGGCTGCCTTTTCTCCCCCTCCCCAGATGGAAGAAGCATTAACTGTGTGCAAACATCTGGTCTAACTGTTGCTTGTGCATCACGGTAATGATGATACTGCAGTGGAAGGGCTCTGGAGAGCGGGCCCTGGAATATTAGAGGGGCCAAGTGTTAATTAACTGTATTAATTTCCTGTAAGCAAGGCAGCGTTTCCATTTGCTCTCTGCTGATGAAGAAATGAGGCACAGCGAGCTGATGTGATTGGTCACGGACATGCAATATGTTCCTGGTGTATTTAAGGATGTGGGGATCCGGGGAAATCACGGCACTGACAGTCCTCGGGGGAATTACAGCCACTGCCAAAGTATCCAGCAGAAAATCCTTTGAAGCCAGAAACCTGTTAGGCCAGAGCAGGGGCACTGCATGTCAGGATTTGCTCTGCAGCACAGGAGTTAATTCAGCCCTGGGAATGCCTCCTGCATCCCACGCACTGCTGGAAAAAACACCCCATCTCCTCATCCAGGGCAGGTCAGGGTCGGCAGCAGGGCCGGGGCGGGAGCCAGCACTGGCCCACAGCCCCGCCTGGCAGCACCAAGGGGTTGGGGGTCACTGTGCTCCACCAGGAGGCCCCCTGGGGACCTGTGGGGAAGCTTTTGGGGGGCACAGAGGGGTTAAACCCTGGGCTCGGCTCAGAGGGGCTTTGGGTGCCTGGCTGAGACCCCCTCACTCCACACTTCCCTCACGAGCTTCAACATCTCTGGGCCCTGCAAAAGGTCTAATCTTTAAGTGCTTTTTAGGTTATTTTAATAGCAGGATGTTTTTTTTTTTTTTCATTTTTAATTCTGCCTTCTCATGCAGTGGGGGGTTATCGGTGTCCTGCAGGCAGCAGATACGGGTGGTGGGAGCCGCCTGTGCCTGTCTGGGGGTGTACTATCATCCCTCCCAGCATATGGGGCCACTCCCGGCCCCGTCTGCCACCCCTCTGTCCCTGCCCCTCCCCGATCGCGCGGTCCCACGGCCAGGGATCGCTCCCGGCACGGCCAAGTGCGGGCTGTGCTCCCAGCAGAGCTTTCCCTCCGTGCTGCCCTGCAAGGGGTTATCAAGGAGTGCTGCAGGAGCCGCCGAGATCCACAGCTGGTGGGTGTTTGGAAACACAGAATGCCGTGAATCACCCGGCAAACGGACAGAGCAGATTGCGGCATCCCAGGCTTTCCATGCGAGCCGGACCCCTGGAACAGTGCAGAGCCTCCAGGCTTCCCGATAGCCCCGTCTGGGGTCTCGGGGTTGTGCTTTTAACGAGGGAGAGGAACAACACTGAGCTCATCTCTGCACGGGCTGGGGTCACCCCTGGGGAAAGGGGACACAAAGGGATAGCCCGCAAAGCCCAAACCCACCCTGTGTGCCACCAGTGCCACCCGAGGGTGGGGCAAGCGGTACGAACTTCGCTGTGGGTGTGTGCCGGTGCCCTCCCGGGCCATCCGGAGCGGGGAACGGCCGTGCCCGCAGCCGGAAGCCCGTCAGCCCGGGAGGGACCGGCTCTGCCCGAGGCTTTCCCATGGCTGGGAAAAGCAGGAGCGGCCAGGGCCGGTTGGGAGCGGGGAATCCGCGGGGGGACACAGGGTGGGCACATGGCAGGAACACATGGGGGGACAAAAGGGGGGGACACACGAGGGGCACAGGGTGGGCGTATGAGAGACACACAAGAGGGGACGCAAGAGGAGACACGGGGAGCACAAGGATGGGACACAAGAAGGGGACACAAGGGAGGGGACACAAGAGAGGGGACCCCCACCCCATCCCGCCCCGCCCGCTCCGCACCCACGCGGCGCCCCCGCCGCGTCCCCGGGCCGCGCTCCCATTGGCCGCCGCCCCCGGCGCGACGTCGCCGATTGGCCGCCTGTCAGCGCGGCCCCCCGCCCGCCAATGGGCGCGCGGCACCGCCCGCCGCCCCGCCGGGCGCAGCCAATGGGAGCGCGCCTCTCCGCCCCCGCCACGCCGGGCGCAGCCAATGGGCGGGCGGCGGGGCGGCTCGCGCCGCTTTTCGCGGCAAAAAGGATTTGGCGCGCAAAGGCGCGCGGGGCCGGCGCGCCGAGACAGCCGGCGGGCACCGAGCGGAGCCGCGGCTGGGATTGCAGCCGGGGCTGGAGCCGGAGCGGAGCGGCCCCGCGCCCGCCATGGGCCGCGCCTCAGCCCGCGCCCTGCCCGCCGCGCCGCCCGCCGCCCCGGCGGCACCGGCTGCCATGTGAGCCATGGCGGCGGCGGGCGGCGCGGCGGGGCTGGCGGCGCTGCTGGGCAGCGCCTCCCCGCACCTCCTCATCGTCTCCGCCGCTGCCGCCGCCGAGGAGCCCGCGGGCGGCGGCGGCCACTCCGAGACCGACCTCCTGCTCTTCGCCACGCCGCAGCCCGCCCGCCCCGGCGCCGCGCCCAGACGGCCCCCGCTGGGCCGCCCGCCGGTAACCCCCGCGAGTGGGACGGGGGGGGACGGTGGGCGGGCGGGGGCTGCGGGGACCGGGCTGTGTGCTGGTCCGTGCAGTATTGGGCCGCTTCGAGCCGGCTGGGTACCGACCGTGCCGTGTAGCCGGGCTGTACACCGAGCTGGGCTATTTACCAGGCCGAGCTGTATAGCGAGCCGTGCTGTACACCGAACCGGGCCGGGCCGTGCTGCTCCCTGCTCTGCCCCGTGCTGTGCCATATGTCATGCCCTGCTCCGTGCCAGGCCGTTCTCGGCCGTGCCCTGCCGTACAGCCGGGCCGTGCCACGCAGCACCTGCCGGGCCGGCCCTGCCCCGCTGCCGCTCCGGAAGCCGCAGGCCCGGGCGCTGGGCCGTGCTTTGCCTCCCCTGCCGCGGCCTGCGCCGGCCTTGGGGCGCTCCCCGCAGCCTGGCGGGGCCCCCGCGACGGGGACAGCCCCCCATCCCCGCTGGCGTGCGTGGCAGCCGCGGAGCTGCTCTTGTCAGTCCCTTCCTGCCGGGCCTCTGTGACCCTGGGGCGATCCCTCGGGTCACATTCCATGCCCAGTGGGATGGTCGCTGCCCCTCTGATGGCCCCATCCCTTGCAGGTGAAGAGGAAGCTGAACTTGGAGACAGATCACCAGTACATAGCAGAGAGCCTGCCGGTGGTCCGGGGCAAGGCCAGGAACCCGGCTAAAGGTACTGCTCCTCCTGACCCCCCCCTTGACAGCCCAGCCCAGGGCAGGGGTGCTGCAGCCCCACTCAGCTCCCACAGGCAGCTTCTTCCTTTTCCTTCATGTCAGTTTGTTCCTGGGGCTGACCTCTTTCTGTCCGCTGTCCACAGCTGCTGCTGTCCCCTGGGTTGGTGACATAGTTGTCCTGCCCAGCTGCTGGGCACCACACCTGCTCCATCCCTCCCTGTGGGGCGGAGCTGTAGCTGCCAACATGGGGTGGGTGCAGTGTCCTGGGGGGACCTTCTGTTATCTCCCCGCTGAGCCCTGCCTGGCACAGCTGAGGTTGTGGTCAGGATGGAGCACAGGTGTCAGAGCCTGTGCCAGGTCCTGCAGCATCCTTCCCGTGGAGGGTTTGGGGAGCTCACCCCATTGCCCTGAGAAAGCACATTGGTTTTGGGGTGCCAGTCCTGGTCCCTGGTGCACGAGCCACCTGCAAGCATGGGGGTAGTTTTGGGACCTCTCAGCTCCAGCCTTGTGGCTAAAATCACACTTGTCCTCGTTGGCTGAAAGGGGCAAAGTCTCCTGGAGAGAAGTCCCGCTATGAAACCTCCCTGAACCTCACCACCAAGCGCTTCCTGGAGCTCCTGAGCCAGTCACCTGATGGCGTGGTGGATCTCAACTGGGCGGCCGAGGTCCTGAAGGTGCAGAAGAGGCGCATCTATGACATCACCAATGTCCTGGAGGGCATTCAGCTCATCACCAAGAAATCCAAGAACCACATCCAGTGGCTGTATGTCCCTTGGCTGGGCTCATGGGGCTGTGTCTGGCTGTTCCCTGGGCTGGGAGGACCGTCTGGGCCAGGCTCAGGGTAGAGCAGGGTCTTAGCGGTGTGGAGAAGTTCAAAGCAGGGTCACCAGAGCATCTGCTCACGGGTCAAGTGGTGGCTCCCCGTGGAAGGGCTGTGCTCAGTGGCAGGTGGCTCCTGAGCAGGCAAAACAGGAATGCCAACACTGCGAGTCCCCCTCGGGCTCCCCAAGTCATCCCAGGGAGCGGGGGGGCTGCATCCAGGCTCGGGGAATGGACCCCAGGGCTGTGCCCTACTGGGAAATCCGGACAAGGCTGATTCCCTGGGTGTGGGGTGGGATGTAGCCTGGCCTGGGTGGGGACAGAGGGAGCTGTGGGGTCTGGCTCCTGACGGACATGGTGCTCCCCAGGGGCAGCCAGGCCACCGTGGGAGCGCCCGGCCGGCACCGGCTGCTGGAGAAGGAGCTGCGGGAGCTGCAGGCGGCCGAGAGGCAGCTGGATGAGCTCATCCAGATGTGCACGGTGCAGCTGCGCCTGCTCACCGAGGACCCCGCCAACCAGCAATATCCTTTGGTTATGGGATGGGACTGGCTGGGTGGGGGGATGTGGGTGAGCCCTGGGGTGAGCCTGGCCGGCTGCGGTCCCTGCAGGGAACGATCCCTGGGTTTGCTCCTTGACCCGCCCCACCGCAGCCTATGTGACCTGCCAGGATCTCCGCAGCATCGTGGACCCCTCGGAGCAGATGGTGATGGTTATCAAAGCACCCCCAGAGACCCAGCTGCAGGTCTCAGACCCGGCAGAGGTGAGTTGGGGTCACCCTCTGACCCCTCTGCACAGCCCAGTGCTCCCTAGGCATCCCTGCACCTCCTTGTCTCACTCCTCTCTCCCCCAGGCTTTCCAGGTCTCCATGCGAAGCACTCAGGGCCCCATCGACGTCTTCCTCTGCCCCGAGGACAGCTCAGGGGTCTGCAGCCCTGTCAAGAGCCCCTTCAAAGCCTCCACAGAGGACTCATCTCCCAGGTGTTCACAGTCCAGAGCCTCCCCACTCCTGCATCCCACCCAGGATATGAACATGCCACTGCTTCCCGGAGAGCAAGGTGGGGCTGGGGACAGGGATGTTGGTGTGATGTCACGGTTGCTCTGGCTGTGTTTGTAGCTGTCAGCACAAGCAAGGAGCTGGGATGGTGCTTGGGCACCCCAGCAAGGCAGGGAGGTGGGAACAGCTGGGTTCTCCATAGCCTAAAAAATGTCTTTTTGGGGGGTTTATTTGGCAACTTCTGTGGGATTTACAGCTGTTTCCCATCCCCACAGAAGCGCTGCTGCCAGGGACAAGCTCACTGCCCAGCAAGGTGGAGGAGGTGAGCCTGTCACCTCTGGCTTCCATGGACATTCTCCTGGAGCAGAGCAGGGAGGACTTGGCGGGTTTCTTGGCGGATGAGTTCATCAACCTGTCGCCGCCGCAGGCGCAGGACTATCACTTCGGGCTGGAGGAGGGCGAGGGCATCAGCGAGCTCTTTGACTGCAACTTTGGGGACTTCACCCCCTTGGACTTCTGAAGCTCTGCCCAGGTGCTCGGGGGAGCTGCCAGGCGAGGGGGGCAGCCCTGGCAGGGCGGGCAGGGCAGGCGGCCCCTCTGGCTGCAGCACCCGCTGCTCCTCTCCCATCCCCTTTTTGCAATATTTTCTTCTCCCTCCAGACCCCCCAGCCAGGCGGGGGGCCAGTGGCATCCCCAGCTCCAGCCCCACAAGGGGGATGCCAGGATGGGGTTCCCATCTCAGGGGACCCCTCCCACAGGGCCCTGGCCACAGGGGAACTGCCCAGGGCAGCCCCCCAGGAGCCCATTCCAGAGCTTTAAGCAGTCCTGTGTATAGATTTGATTAATTTATTATTGTCCCCTGGGGACAGCGTTTCATTTCCATGGGGGTTTGGGGGGGGCTGTACAGCAGAGTGAGGGTGCTGAGAGGGTTTGTTTTGCTGGAAGGGGGTGGTGGAGATGTGGGGGGTGCTGGGTCAGGGCTGTCCCCCCTGTGTGGGGAGCTGCCCATAGCCTGGCTGAGCATGGGGTATTTATTTATTATTTATGGCGTGTGGGAGCTCTCCCAGGACATGGAGGGGGCAGGAAGGAGCAGGAGGCCACCGGGGCCTTGCCAGCACATCCTGGCTTTTCTCATGTCCAAAATGAGACTGGCAAGGCCACGGCTGTGGCAGTGGCTGCAGGAGGGGGGACGGGGCTGGATGGGGCTGGTGGCCCTGGGACCATGGGCTTGTCCCCTTAGGGGACACAGAGGTGTCCCAGGGAGTGCATCTCTGCAGGTAAGGACCCAACGCTGTCTCCAGGCTTTTCTTCCTCTCCCTGTGCAGCCTTTCAGCCTTTCAGCTCTGTCTCCCCATCCCCAGGCCACTGGGAGGGGAGGGGAGGAGAGGGGGGTCCTGGGGTCCCCCCGGGCCAGGCTGGAGACGCACTTTCACTTTTACTGCCATTTAATAAGCTTGTGTTCCTCTGAGCTTCGTGTTTAATAAAGGTTTCTACTGACTCTGCTCTTTGGCTGTGCTGAGGTGCCTGGGGGTTTTAGGAGTGGTGGGGCCCCTAGTTGAGAAACAAAGTGGTTTGGCATGATTTTTTGGGGGTTTTTTGCCGTTTCAAACTTGAAATGCATGACCAGCTCTGACCATGCCTGGGGCTGCAGGAGGTGCTTTGGTCCTTGGTTTTTTTTTTTCCCCCATGCAACTCCACACACTCCCACGTGTGGGGTGGGAGCTGGGGCTGATCCTGCCCCCACTGCTTCTCCAAAGAGGTTGTGCTGCAGGGGGATGTGGTGATGGATCTGCATGAGGACTGCTTTTCTTTTTGGCAGCCCCTGTCCCCACTTGGCTGCTCTCCTGCCTGGCCCCCTCCCTGCCTTCCCCCTGGTTTTGGGGCAGCATTTGCATGGAGAGGGTCCCTGGCTGTAGCACCTGCACTGGGAAGAGTGTGGCCAGAGAATGGGGCCATTGTGAAACCAGTCCATGCATCCACCACACCAGCAGGCTCCCTGTGACTTCCCAGCTTCCCCTGTTTGCCCCAGCACCTCTTGGTGCTGCCTAAAGGCACGTGCTGGCACCAATTCCTGGCCCAAAGTTCAAGCTCCCTGTGTCCTTGCTCACTGGGGACACACTGACTGCCAGTGGCAGCCCTGACCCTGCGTGCCCCAATCCTCTCTGCACCACACTGGGATTGAGGGACACTGGGGGCCCTCAGGGAGGGATGTTTGGAGTTCCCAAGGACCCCCTGGCAGCCTGGAGCGGGCTCAGGGGGGCCATGGCCACCACCCCATGTTTGTGTGCTTGCTCCCCTCCTGCCCAGCCTCCTGCCTGGTTTGCCTTTAAACAGCCTGATAAATATTTCAGCCCGACCATGTTGTGTAAGCTCACCCTGCTCCTGTGCCAGCAGGTAACGGGAACACAGGCTCTGGCCAGGCTGCTGGTGGGTGCTGGGTGGCACAGCCTGGCCTCTTGTCTGCATCCTTGTGCCTCTGTTTCCACATCTGGGCACAGTCCCTGGCTCACTGTGCTGCCACTGGGTTGTTTTTACAGCTGGACACGTGTGGATCGTGGTGTGCAGGTGTGGATGCCAAACCCCATGGCTCAGCTCCCTGCACCCTCCCCTTTCCCAGCTCTCTAGAGCTGGGCAGCAGGGCCAGCCAGGCCCTGGCACCCCCAAACTAGTGCCCAGGAGGGCAGTGGCACACACAGCTTGTCTTGAGTGACCCCTCTGTCTGAGAGGGAGGGGCTTGTGTTTATTGTCACATTGTCACCACATCAAATGGGGCTTTTCCAGACAAACTGGAAGAACATTCCCATTGTTCTGATCCGTGGGGCTCCTGCCCCTCAGAGCCAGGGCAGGAGGATGGGGTGGCAGGTGGGTGGGCATGGGCTCTGGTCCCTGCCTGCTGTTTCCTTCACTACAGAGTCGATGTTTGTCCCCTTGGGGTGACAGGTGCTGCAGGGTTTCCTGCAGGGTGCCCAGCTCAGGCATATGCCAACTCCTCCTCATCCACCCCTCCTTCTCTTGTTTAGTTCCACTGTGGTGGAGGGTGATGGTGGTCTGAAATGCTGCCCAAAGAGGAGAGACCCTAGCACAGGGAGTGGCTTTCATGGGAGCCATCAGGCTCAGGGAGAGGAGAGAGGACTCACACCAACATCCTGAGCTCCACGGGGCTGTTCCTGTGCCCATCCAACCCCCCCACCAGCAGCACAGCTTTTCCCTTTTCCCCTGAGCAAAGGCAAACCTGTGATGACATTCACCATCACATTCCCTTCATAGTGAACCTCCTGGGATGCTGGGCCCTTGAGATTCCTGGTCCCCATGGAAGCAGCCCCCAGCAGGGCCAGGAGTGTGTCCCGCTGCCGCAGCCCATCTCTGAGGGATGCACTGGCAGCTCCACGTGAGCCACAGAACCATAAAAATAACCACTCTGCCTCCCAGGGATGATTCATGATGCAGCTGAAGGGCTTCCCTCCTGCTATTTCAGATCACTGGAGAAGGAGCTGATGATAGCTGGTTTGGAAGAGCACATGGCAGCTTTGGGAAGCGGCCCCAGGCACTGCCTGGTTTTATTTATCTGCTCCACAGATGCTTTTCTTTGTCAGGCGAAGCCAACACGGTCCAGGAGATGAGAATCCTGCACACATCCTGGTTGCTCCATGGGCTCTCAGCTCCTGTTTGCTCCTATCTCCCATTCCCAGGCAGTGTTACCCCACAGGGATCATGTCCATCCAGCCCTGGGCAGCTCCATTGGCACTGGCAAATGCTGTGCAGGATGTGGCCGTGGTGCTGATCCCAGGCAGCCATGGAGTCTCCTGCCCCTGTGCTGTGAGGTTTGGACTTGGGGGAGTCGGGAGAGCCCCTCAGTGGGATGAGCTCTGGGACAGTCTGGCAGTGGCTGGGGGGCAGAATTAGGTGCCCCCCACAAGGGCTTTGTACCTTTAACCTAATCCCCCCCAGAGGGTCCGGGCAGGTTTTGGGGTCTCTCTAGGCAGGGATGTCTTGCCCCTGCCAGTGCTGATGCTGCCTGCCCCACGTCTGCATCCTGCCCCAAACTTCCACATTTCCACTCTCAAACATCTCCCGTGTTTCTTCCGTGAGGAAGGAACCTGAGGAGGCCAAACACAGCATTGTTTATTTCTGGAATTCTGGTGAGTGGGTGCTTCCCTTAATTCCAGCCCATTGTGGTCCTGGAGAGAAGAGCAGAGCCCTGATGCCCCCCTCAGCTGGAGCCATGTCACCATTCCCAGCTGTGGCTTTCGGGGTGCTCTGGAAGCACCTGTGGAAGGAGCTGGGGGCATCAGCTCCCTCCTGCCACTGGTAATTTTGCCCTGGACTTTGCTTTCCCTCACTACCCAGCTGCTCCTTCCCACGCAGGAACTCATGCTGACCCTGAAGCATCCCAATGGGGACAGAGAACGGATTTTAGCAAACAGGAGTGTGGGAAGACCCTCCGTGACAGAGCCCCACCATCACACAAGCCTTCCCACACTCCCTGGTGAGGTGATCCCTGTTCCTGCTGTGTCCCCTGCCTGTGTTTTTTTTCCTTTTGCTTTTTTGGTTGGATTTGATGACCACACTCAAGAGCTCCAGTCCTTGGACCTCTTTCTGCCTCCCTGGGGTGGGGAGAGCCCTGTGCTGTGTGTGTGAGTGCACGTGCCCTCCAGAGCCCTTGGATACCCCCCCATCAGGACCCAGGTGTGCTTTTTCCACCTCTTTTCCCTTGCACACACCTGGAACAGCTGGGAGATGGTAAAAATAGCTGCGATGCATCCTGCAGCTGCTCCAGGCTCAGCTTGGAGCCTCTTATCCCTGAGGGAGGAGGAGATGAGCAAACTCCATGTGCCGCAGCTCAGTCCTGTTGGGATGGGGAAGCATCTTGGATTTGAGATCTGGGTTAAGCGGAGCTGAGCTCAGCAAACAGGATGTTGCTGAGAGCTCCATGTGGAAGCAGAGGTGGTGCTCATGGAGGCAAAGCTTGCCTGGGATTTTCCATCTGAACAAAACCGGTTCATGTCCCTCTCTCTGTAAGTAAAATCCTGGAATGCTCCAAGAGGGAGAGGGAGCAGCCCCAAGAAGTCCCTGCACCCCGGGAGCATGTGAAGCTCTGCCCAGCCATGGCTTTATCTGGTTTATTTATCTAATTATCTGTTTCTTATTTGGGAAAACCCCTGAGGACAGTCTGGGATATGGATATGGATCTTATTCCTCTCTGCATGCACAGGCCTCTGGGTGTCAGGCAGGGATGGAGGCAGCTCCTGCTTCCTCCTCCTCCTCCACAATCAGTATATGCCACACTGGAGGGAAGCAGCGGGGAGCAAAGGCTGCCTGGCACCGTGGGCATTGAAGAAAGGCATTTGGAGCCACCCCGCTTGTCAAGGGACCACCCCAGGGCCACTACAACCACAGTGGGACCACCCGTGGTCAAACTGAGGCCAAGTCAGGGCCAGCTGGAGAAACCAGGGCTTTCCCAGGACCAACAGTGTCCACACTGGGACCACCTGTGGCCAAACTGGGACCACCAGTGGCCAAACTGGGACAAACAGAGATATGCTAGGGCCAACCATGGCCACACTGTGACCACCCATGGTCAAACTGGGGCAACTCCAGGGCCAGCTGGGGCAACCAGGGCTACCCTGGGGTCAAAAGCAACCACACTGAGACCACTTTTGGCCAAACTAGGACCAATTGGAGCAACCATGGCTGCCCCAGGGCCAACAGTGACTACAATGAGACAACCCATACCAAACTGGGACCAACTGGGCAAGCCAGGACTGCCCTGAGGCCACTAGCAACCACACTGGGACCTCCCATGGCCAAAATGGGACCAACTGGGGCTATATTGGGGTGTCCATGGCTTAATCCTGGAGCCAACAGTGACCACACCAGGACCACTCATGGCCAAACTAGAATATCCCCAGGGCCAACTGGGGCACCCAGGGCTACAGTGGGGCCAACAGTGACCACACTGGGACTACCCGTGGCCACTCTGGGACCAACTGGCCCAGCACTGGGACAACCAGGGCTATCCTGGGGCCAACACTGGGATAACCCGTGGTCAAACTGGGACCAACTGGGACACTCGGGGATGGTCACACAGCCCACGGGTGGGACCACGGTGGGCTTTACTGGAGTCAACTGGAGGCACCGCTGGGTCCAACTGGGATCCCCCTGCGGCAGCCCCGGGCACCGGGACCCAGCCCCGCCCCGCCTCTCCGCCATCCCAGTGGTGGCCCTGGATGCCAATCACGGCCCGTGACCAATCGGGTGGCGGTGGGGGCGGGCCCGCAGCGGAGCCAAAGTTGCCTGGCGGCGGCGGAGCCGCTCGGCTGAGTCGGGATCTGCGGGGCGCGACCTGCGCACCGCGTCCGTCCCTCCGGCACCGCACCGAACCAGCCCTCCGCCACCGCATCCATCCCTCCGCTACTGCACCGCATCCAGCCCTCCGCTACTGCACCGCATCCCTCCCTCCGGCACCACACCGCGTCCGTCCCCTCGGTACCACATCGTGTCCATCCCTCCGGCACCGCATCCATCCATCCCTCCGGCACTGCATCCGTTCCTCCGGCACCGCATCGCGTCCATCCCTTTCGTACCGCATCCATCCCTCCAGCACCGCACCACGTCCAGCCCTCCGGTACCGCACTGCATCCACCCCTAGGGCACCGCACCGCGTCCGTCCCTACGGCATCGCACCGTACCTATCCCTACGGTACCGCGCCCTACGGCACCGCACCGCTCCCTCCGGCAGCGCGCCGTGCCCCACGGTACCGCTCCGCACCGCACCGCACCCATCCCTACGGTACCGCCCCGCACCGTGCCCTAAGGGACCGCATCGCACCGCACCACTCCCTACGGCAGCGCACCGTGCCCTACGGTGCCCCTCGGCAGCGCACCGCCCCCATCCCTCCGGTACCGCACCACACCTCACGGTACCGCGCCGTGCCGTGCCCTCCGGTACCGCACCGTGCCCTCCGGTACCGCACCGTGCCCTCCGGTACCGCACCGTGCCCGGAGCCCGCAGCACCCGCGCCCGGCGGGACCATGATGTCCTGTGCTGAGCTGCTGGCCGTGTGCCTGCTCTCCGCCGAGCGCGGCCCCGCGCCCCTCCGCCAGCCGCTCCCCATCTTCCACGACGTGAGTACCGCGGGCCGGCTCCCCGCCACCCCCCCGCGCCCCCCGGGCCGCCGTGCCTCCCCTCGGGGGTGGGTGTCAGGGGGAGACTCTTTCCCGTCCCTTCCCGGAGGAACCAGCCCGAAGGATGCTCCAGCCTGGAGCTGCGCATCGAGGTGTGGAGTCGTGATGGCTTAAATAATGGTGTCGTGTCCTTCTGATGAATTATGGGCCTCCGGGTGGCTGGAAACAGCCCACGCCTCATCCAGAGCTGGCTGTCGTGACTCCCGGAGCGGAGCTGCGCGTGTCTGGCAGGAAGGTTCCGTGGAGCTGCTCGCAGCCGTGGGATCCAACAGGCAGAGCGCTGCCTGCTGCAGCCCCCGGGCGCAGCTCCCGTCCCTGCCCGCTCCCGACGCGCCGGGAGGTGTGGAGGAGGATGCTCCGTGCAGGTTGGGGGTCGGCCGGGCATCCCAGCAGCTGTGAGTGGCCGGGGGGAGTTAAGACGCAGAGGGTGGTTGTCTGCGTGTCCAGAGGTGCTGGCACAGTGCCTCCCGTCACACCGCGTCCCCTCCAGCCCGGTGTGCTCCTGGGAGGGAGAGCCGCGTGCCCTGGGGTCAAGGCTGCATCCCTGGCCATCTCCCAGGGTGAGAGCCCACCTCTGGAGCACATCCGAGGTGCTCAGCCCTCCTGCCCCTGCCTGTCTGCTGTGACCTGGGCCGGGGGGACAGTGCCCAAATCTCCCCGATGGGCCACCAGCCCTTGCTGTTCCCATGTGTCCGACACCACTGCGGTCTAAATCCAACCCCGTGGAGCCAAGGAGATGTGTGAGTGGAGGTGCTGCCCCTGCCCAGCTGCAGGACCGAGGAGAAGAAAGCCAGCAGGGGTTAAGGATGAGGGTTGGTGGTGCCCCAGCACCTGCCCAGCCCAGGTCAATGCCAGCTGTCATCCCCCAGCTGTCATTCCCCAGCTGTCATCTCCGTGTTGTCCCAATCCAGCCTCACCCCCATGTCCCAGTTCATCCCAGAGGAGGGGAACGATAGATCTCAGGCAGCACTTTAGGAATATGAGTGCCATGCCTGGTCCAGTCTAAGACCTCCTGGCATCTCCCTGGTGCCACTGGGAAGCACAGCTCCCTCTGTCAGGGTGGTGCTTGAAGCTTCCAGCTGGGAGTCAGGGCCTCTCTCCTGCCTGGGGGGATTTTGGGCTGGAAGGCTCTCCAGCCAGCATCATTACCACGCTAATTACTTGGCTGAGGGAAGATGGGCTGGAGGGGGTGGGTGATGACAGCTGTGTTCCAGCTCAGCTCCTCAGGGCACTCGCTCAGTCCCACATCTATCCCTCAGGGTGTCATCAAGGCAATTAAAATGGGAAATGTTAACAACTCTAGCAGCTGCTTTCCGGTTCTGAGGGCTTCTCTTCCTCTTCCCCGTGGCTTTCTTTGCTCCCATCTCAGCTCCAGAGCTTGGCAGGGCGAGTTTAATATCTCCACTTTTGGCTCTGGGCGGTTGGCTGGTGTCCAGCTGCCCCCCAGGCTTGTTGGGGTGAGCATCAACAAGGAAGGATGCCCAGCCTGCCTTCCCAGCAGGACTGCCCACCACAGACTCCAGGTGGCAGCTGCTGCTTCCCCTGGGACCTGCCTGCAGATGGCCTGCCTTTGGGAGAGGTGAGGAGGAGGAGAAGGAGAAGGAGGAGGAGGACTTTGCCCGAGACTCCTCGCTGCAGGCACGGTACAAACTGCAGAGCTGCCATCGCTGCTGTTCCCCTGTGCAGCATCTCAAGCCTTGGGGAGGTCTGTCCCCCAGGCTGGTGCCCGGGGCTCCTCACTGCTCTCCCAGGATACGGGAGGCTCAGGAAGGACGCCGTTCACCGGCAGTGCCTGGTGCAGCTGCCTCAGCCTGCACACGGTGTCACCAGGGTGACTGTCCCCTCCCCAGCAGTCACTGTGTCCCTGCCTGCCTGTCCAGCAGCCACCGTTGCTCCCAGCCCTGCAGGCAGGGAGAAGTCCTATAATGTCCCTCCTTCCTGAGGTGTGTAGGGGGTTCATCTCCCACATAAATGCCATTTCAGTTCTTCCATCAGGCACCGAGCAGGGCTGTGGCTGCTCGGACCCAAGCCCAGGAGCTGGGGGCCAAGGGAACATCGTGGGCTCCAGGCAGTGTCAGTCCAGGCTGCCAGTCCTCCCTGAGGCAAGTGAGGGATTACCTGTAGGGCCTCTTCAGCAGTCAACACAGACCTGATCCCATTCCCAGCCTGGCTTTGCATCACTTTTCCCAGGCTTTGTTCCAGGGCTGCTGCCCACAGGGGAAGCAGCGCTTACCTGCCATTGCTGAGCTCATGCCTGTGCCCAGGGAGGGGACAGGATTCACCCTGCGGAGTGTGGAAGTGGCTCTGCACTGTTTTATGCTTGGCTAGAGTTGGATCCTGTGTCATGCACAGGATTCACTGGTGTTTTCCAACATGAGCAGCGCTCGCTGAGGCACCTCTGCAGCTGGGTCGGCCAGGGATGGGCTCACTGGTGATAGTGAGGAGCCCTACCATTCCTGGGGGCCATGGAGCTGGTGTGGCCTTGCCTTGTGGGGCTCTCACAGCTCCCTGCTTTGTGCCATATTAAAATAAATCACTTCAAGCAGCTGATGCCATACATGCACTGGCAGTGCTTGTGTAACACATCACTCACCTGAGTGTAAGGGAGAAGCATCCACTCCGTCTGCTGAGGCTCCTACTAAATCCAGGATGGGCTCATCCTGGATTAGAGACCTTCTCATCTCCATGGATTCCCCCCCAGAACCATGTTCTCCCTCATAGTCTGCACACAGACCCCTCTGAGCAAGGCCAGGAATGTTTGGCCTCAGCTGAGTCTGCATTTGTTAAGTGCCTGGGTGACACTTGACTGTCTCTGGGATGAGCTAACTGGCCTCGGAGCCATGAGATGTCAATGCATGAGCCATGTGTCTCCCTGATGACACAGAGCCCTGCAGAATGAAGCTTTTCCCTTGATGGAAAGTGTCATTCCCTTGGCAGGACATATGGGACCCACTGGTGCTGCCCCTGCAGCCGGGGAGCCCTGGAATGTGTGACCCTGCAGCTGGGAGACCCCACAAGGAACCCGTTAGCCTGGAGAATAATTTGCTTTAAAATCCAGAGAAATCTCTTCTGTTTGGAAGCTGCAGGTTCCCATCTCAGCTCCAAAGTGCATCCAGCGAGTTCTGTGGGGCGCTCAGGGAGCGCCTGCCCTGCTTTCCTGCAAGGGAAGGCAGGAATAGCGGGATGGAATCCCAGAGGGATGGTTACCTAATGCTGGTCAGTCCAGGGCAGCCTCTGTTTCCTGCAGCAGCTCGGGTCGAGAGGAGCTCACTTTGTTCAGAAGAGCATCCTCCAAGGAGGGGTCCCTGCTCCTGCAGGAGGTGTCCCTGCTCCTGGTTTCATGCAGGGAAGGACCAGGGAGCTCCCTGCTGGGACCAACAGCAGAAAAGCCTCTTCCCAGTCACAAGCCAGTGGCTTAGGAATGAGCAGTGTGGGTTTTCCTGGGCAGCTGTCTCTTTACCTCAGAGCAGTTTTCCAGGGAGATTTTGGTGGCTGGATCTCAGAACACACAGCAGAGCTGTTGGTGAGCAGCGCAGAAGGAAGGAGCCTGGGGCAGTGATGCCTCTGCCTGCTGCTCTGTGGGGATGTGTGGACAAGAATATAGAAGTCCTCTTTCTCCTTTTCCTGCCGTTTTTCATTCCTGATCTTTCTTCAGACCTGTGGATTTCTACATCACCCAGGATGATATAAAGGAAAGAGTTGCCACACACACAACTTTCAGTCGTTGGCGCCATTAGGCTGTGCTGGCCAAAACCTCGTAATGTTTGGTCTAAGAAGATGTTCCAAGGCTTTGGAAATGATGCCATTCCTCACTGGAGTCAGCCCCAGACCTTCAATAATTATTGGTGAAACAGATCCTGGCAGGGATGAGCAACCCCAGCTCTCTCCTGCGTCCTGGGCAGAAGCCTCGTGGTTGGGAACCCGCACTGAGGCCCTGAATTGAGGTCTCCAACTGTGCTCTGTGTCAGAATTAGTTACAGATTAATTGACTCATTAATAATTAATTGCAGCATGTGTGCACATGGAGATGTTGCAGGCAGGACTGTTGTGAGAGGTGGTTTCGAAGCGCGGGGCAGGAGCTGCTCCTCGGTGCAGGTGGTCGGAGTGTTGGTGATGCCCTAAGTGCTTCCGTACGGAGTGGTTTTTTATACTTAATGTTCTTTTGTTTAAAGGCTCTGAAAAATTAAACATCTGCCATCACAAGGGTGTAGCAAAGCCCTCTGTGCTTCGCCTCCCTCCGTGTTCTCTAAGAGACGCTCGCTGTGAGCGCCGGGCTCGCTCGGTTGCCGCAGCTGCGCCGAGGGCTCTGTGCATTAGAGGCAAGAAATGGGTTTAATCACTGGCAAAGGGCAATTTCCCGGAGCAGCCTGTGCAGTCCTGGCAGCAGGGGCTCCTCCATGGCCCCCTGGGCTCCAGGAGGTGGTTTTCCGTGGTGCTGAGTGCTGCCCAGCTCATCTGCCCTTCTCTCCCCACTGCCACACTGAGCTCTGTTGTATTTTCTCTTGCAGATTTTCCGGCGAGCCGACAAGAACGGTGAGTGCTTTGTTCCTGCTGCTGCCTCCCCCTCCCTGCCTGGCTCTGGGTGAAGCAGTGTGGCTCATTCCCACTGAGAGGTTTGGCTGAAAGAGTGAGGGAGGATAAGGGCAAGCAGCGCTCTGGCTGCAAGGAAAATGCTTTTCTGCTTTGCCTGGAGCAAGGGGCCTGGCCAGGGGCAGGGGAGTGGGCTCTGCCAGTTCACCATTCATGCACCACACAGGACAGAGCCCTTTCCAAGCCCTTCTCCTGCCTATGTGCTCATGATTTCTCCTCTGTGCTGCTGACAGCGACAAGGGATGGCAAAGCAGCCCAGGCCCAGGGGCCATCAGGCTTCTGCTCCATCCCTCGTGGGATTGATTCAACCTCTGTGCTCAGTCCAGGGTTTGACAGGTGGCTCTGTGTCTGGGTAACTCTGGAGCCTCTGGCATTTGGGCGTTAGGCTCTGTTACCCAGTTTTTAATGCAGCACCAATAAACCAAGAGGTCCAAAATCGCAAGTTGTTTCTCAGAGCTCTCTTGAGCTCTTTTCCTTTGTGGTGGATCCAGGAACCGCTTTTGTTGGAGATCAAAATGCAGCCCAGGAGCTGAATTCCTCCACAGAGAGGAAGGGAGAAGCTCTAGAGTCAATGGAGAGATTTTCTTACCATAAAAACCCGTGCTGTTTGTAATGGACTCTCTCCTTGCACAGTCATCTAACAGAGTTGCCTGCATGCATTTCTGAAACCACTGCAGTGGGCTCTTTGGGAAGGTGCTGAAATCCCCACCTGAAATTCCAGCAGCAGTGTCCCTGCTTGCCAACACTCCTGGGCTTTGGCTGGGATGGTGGGACATGCTTTCAGTGAGATATCTGCTCTAATTATCATGCACAACACTCCCAGCTGTCCCACATTCCCGGTGCAGCGGCTGCTGGGAGGACCTTGGGGCCTGGATGCTGCTTTGTGCGGATACATAATTACTCTGCCCCTTTTATTTAAATGCAGATGATGGGAAGCTGTCATTCGAGGAGTTCAAGAACTATTTCGCTGATGGGATCCTGAGCTCGGAGGAGCTGTGGGAGTTGTTCAGTGGCATTGACAGGCGTCACTCAGAGTAAGTCCCGCGGTGGCACCGAGGAGACGAAGGAGAATATAAACCTGCTTGAGTGCAGATGGAGGACATTTGGGGGCGGGTGTGATAAATAGTCAGGGTGAGATCAACCCACCTCTTGCAACACGCAGATGTTAAAACCCATCGAACGCCATTGGTGAAGAGGGGAGTCAGACATTTTGAGAACAGTCAGCACATTTACTGTAGTTCCATAAAGCAAAGCAACCATCTAAGATGACATTGCTGTAGTTTGAAAAATGTATTCCAGAAATACCCAGCTCGTGGAGCAGGTTGTGTGTCTGCAGGAGCATGTGGTGGTGTGAGGACAAGGCACAGACTGTGCAGAGTTTGCCACTGCTGACACAGGGAACTGCTTTTCACTTACATAAGAGCTGCTTTCCAACACAAGTGGGCCTGGTGCATGGAACTGGGAATTTAGGCCAGCTGCTTTTAAAAAAAGAAACCCCCAACGAACAGGAGAAGGAACTGTGTTTAGCCCTGGTCTGCTCTTGACTGGTGCTGTCCAGAGCAGTCTGTTGGGCTGGGCAAGGTTTCTCATCCCAGTGTTTTGGACACCAGTGTGGCCTCACTGGGATCCCTCTGCCTGGCTGTCTGCTATGGGTGAGTGTGTTCTGGCACTGGGAGAAACTGGGTGTTCATGAATTGCATGTCTGGGGTCTGTTCAAACACTGGGGTGCTGCTGGGGGAGAAGGGGCTGCAGCTTCCTCCTGGTCTTTGGCTCTGGCTGGTGCCACTTCCCCAGCTCCCTGGGAAGCACCTCCTGCACCTCTGACACCCTTGGCCAGGGCAGTATCTCCATCAGGGAGAGAAAACTTGAGCAGCCTGAGCTGCACACACTGGTCCCAGGGCTTTGCAGGGAGCCAGGGCAGTGGCACGGAAGGCCCTTGTCACACTGAATTCCACCAAGCCACTGACAGAGGATACCCAGAGGTCCCCACATCATCCCCCAGGGACTGGGGCAGTGGGGATGATGGACTCCTGATGGTGTTGGAGTGGTGGGTTTATCTGATGCTCCCACTTTGGTGATGGGGCAGAGAAGTGGGCTGGTGTGGGTGGCTCTGGTGCTGCTTTCTTTGGAGCCTGGCTGCCCATTGCTGCCTGTCCTGCTGGTTGGACTTGTGGATGTGGGCAGCAGGACATGTCTCCTGAAAATAGCTCTGTTTGGGCTGTGATCCCAGGAAGTTAGCAGTAAGCTGTTCCCTCTCCTCTGGGAATACTCCTTTCCTCTTGCTGCACTTTGGGGTGACCTTGGAGCCATCCCGTCCAGTACTGCTGGAAAACACGGGGTGCAGTGAAGCCAGGAGACTTCACCGAGCCCTGATCTGAACAGGGGAGACCTCCTGGCTTCCCACTGCTTTCAGACTGGGCTTATCCCACGTGTCTGGAGCGGCTGAGCAGGGCCATGGCTGCAGTGGTGCTCCTGGTAGCTCCTTACCGAGAGGATGGTGCTGTAGCCATGGCAACGTGGCAGTTGCAGCATCGAGCTGGTGACATCTATTAGATGAGCCTCGGGTCTTTGTTCTCTTCCTGTCATAAAGAGCAGAAGGGACCCTCAGACAGAGCTGTTTCCAAATTCCTGCACTCGGTGGCTTCAAGCCAACGTAGGAGACACCGCTTTTGGGATGTGGGGGGGGACTTGCTCCTCTCTGCAGCCTCTGGTGTCATGGAAAGGCTGTGCTGGTGCCCTGCTGTCCCCGTGGTGGGGGGCTGGACAGCCCCTCTCCTCTGGGCTTGGCTTGCACTTGCAAAACTTAGTATTTTAGAGAGCTGGCTGAAATTTTCTGCCAGATTCGAGGGTTATTACCTGAGGTAATAAAGTATTAGAAAGCTGAAAAGCAGCTACAAGCTCTACAGACATACCTGGCGTGCTTCTTTTGTATCCTGTAGCTTTTGTGGCAATGGGAAGGTCTCACCCTTCATCCAGCTGGTGGATTTGGTGTTATGTTTGTCAGGTCTAGGCTGAAATTTGTGTTTCCTTGTCCATGTCAGCCTGACCTGAGGACAGACAGTAACAGAGACCTTTATACCCAGGCCTTTTCCATGTCTGGCACTGCCCAGAGCTGCCCTGACCTCCTCACCCATCTCTGTGAACCTGCAGCTGCTCTGGGCCCCAGAGGTGACATCTGGGAAGAGGAGAGAGTTCAGAGGTCTTCCACATTACTTGTTCTCTTTCCAGAGAGCCCACAGCACCATGTTCTCCCCTCCTCCACTTCCCACCCACCTGGTGCTGAGGTGGGACGCTGTGATCTGTGAATCAGGCACCTCTGTAGGGTTCACTTCAGATTTTACCTTCCCACATGAGGCTTTTTTTGTTCTCCATTTCTGAAAATTGTCGCATTTTGGCTTAAAATATCTCCTTGCTTTAATTCTGTGGCATTCAAGGGTTTATGTGGAAACCCAGTTCAGCTCTTGGTGGCAGTTTGGTGCAACACCTGGGACCACTGTTTGGTTTAGCTCATTGGGAAGCTCCACACCAGCCCTGGCAGTGGCACAGGAGGATTCATCTTCCTGGACAGCTGCATTTTCATCCACTGAAACGTCTGGGTGAGAAGGGACTAATGTTTTTGGAGGGCTGAGAGAGCTCCATAGCTGCAGAAGCATCTGGAGAGGTGTGGTTTGCTCTCTGCAGCCCAGCTGGGTGGGAGGAAGCAGATCCCAGGGTCTCATCAGGACAACTTAATGGAGAGTTGGTTACAAAGGGCTTTGGGCTGAAGGCTGTGGTGCTGCAGAGGTTGCTGCTCTTTGCAGGGCACTGTGAAACCTGCCAAGGGAAGTGCTGTGTGGACCTTACATGTCTTCCCGTCCTGCATCTGTTGGGGAAATTTGGAAAAATAAGGTCTGGAAAATCCTTCCTTCCATGAGGGTGTTCAGGAACTGGGTGCAGGCAGCCCAGAGCCTCTGTTCTTGAGCCAGAAGTGAAAGAGGTGGCAGTGCTGACCTGGTGGCTCTTAAAGAGGAAATAACCTCAAGCCTGTGGTACTGTGGAAAAAAAGGGATTTAAGTGAACTTCCCTCCCCTCTCTTTGCTCAGAGCTGCAGCATCTGCCAGTCTCTGAGCGATGGAGAGTGACTGAAACACTCTGTGTTGCACTGAAAAGGTTTGGAAACCTGATCTGTGATGGCAGAGGGGGTTCCCAACATGATAAATGATGAAAATAAAACAAAAATCCTGTCTGCTTTTCAGCAGCTGATTGCTGTTTTCTTGCATAAATTCCAGGCACATTCTGACAAAATCCCAACAGCATAATGATGACAAGATCCTTCATCATCAGTTCAAGCTTAATTACAGTTAATCAGTGGTTTGAGCACAGTCAAAATACAGCTATGGGAGATGTGGAGAGTCTCAGGATGAGTGTTTTGGAGGCAGAGGATGGCTCTTCTCTTGGAGTAGGAGTGGGGATGGCAGAGAGGAGCAGGAAAAACTGCTGCCCCCTGCAGCCCTGCAGGGTTTGATGTTCAGGGTCTTCCCATGAGCTCCTCCTGATTTCTGGGGTGAATTAGCTCTGGCAGCATGAAAGTGGCACCACCAGTCCTGTGCTTTGCTTGCTGTGCTCTGTCTTGCCCCTGGCTGTGCCCTGGGGGCTGCTGCAGGATGCAGAACGTGGGAGGAGATTCCCATGCAGGGTTGATGCTGGAGCAGGCTGCCTCAGGAAGGGAAGGGAGCAGATCTTCCCCTGGACAACTCCCAGGGGGCTGATTTTTGCCACAAGATCTCATCGATTGGTTCAGTGTTCAGCTGTTCAGTGCTTTAGTGATTGATTAGCCAATGCCTATTTTTAAGCAGCAAACAGAGAAGATAAAAAGAGTTATTAATAACCCCTGGCCTCTCCTTAGAAGCCACGAGGTGGGTGTTGGTTGCAGCTCTTTGTCACACCTCGCTGGAGCCACGGTGGGAACTGGGCAGTGGCTTGAGCTGGTGGCTCCTTCTTCCTGGTGGAACCATTCCCAGCCCCAGGTGCTCACTGGGGACAGATGCAAATGCCTGGGTAATGTGTGCATGAGGTGCTTCACTGGCTATTTTGTTATCCCACCTCCGTACATCCCCTCTGCAGTGATTTTTTTTTACCCATCTCTGGCATGGGGGGCTGCAGTCACTGCCCTGGGGCACAGGTCTGACAGGCTGTGCCGTGGGTGCTGCTGTGCCAAGGCTCCTGCAGCACTGCAGCAGCTCTGCAGGCTCCAGGCAGCTTCCAGGAGCGAGTGGAAAAATTAAGAGGGAGCAAAAAAACGTTTTTCCAATGTAAATCGGTGCTTCAACCCTCAGTCACTCTGTCTGGCAGAGCTGGGATGGGATCAGCAAAGTTTTAATGGAGTGCAGTGGGCAGAAGAAGGGGCTGCGGTTTTGCAGATTTATCTGGATTGTGTCTCGAGGGAAACACTGTTTTTTTAATCCACTTTAAAAAGCTGCCTGCAGTGCCAGGTCAGTGCCCTGCCTAAATCAGCTCCTGTGTGTTTAAAATAGCTGAGCCAAATCACAGCCTCACACTGCCCCTCTCTGCTGCTGCAGAGGCACCTAATGCAGTTACCTGAACAGAGGGGGCTGCAGTCCCACTGCCCTGCCTCTGCCATGGGTCACACCAAAATATTTTCTTGCTTTGAAGGACTGCCTGTTATTAAAGGACGCTAAGTGGACCCCCAGAAGAAATAGGGAGACATAAACCAGCCTTGGATACCTGGAGGAAAAGCTATAGGAAGATTTTACTTGAATCATTTCACCTGTTCACATGGCATTTTGGACATTTCACACACTCTCCTCTAATTTTGCCCTGTGAGCAGTGTCAGAGGGGGGACAGGATGATGTGGCCTTGGTTTCACATCCCCTGGTCAGCAGCACTGCAGCTGTCCTTGTGCTTGGAGCCCAGCAAACTCCAGGTATCACCAGTTCCTCCACGTGGGACAGCACTTAAACGATTGAAAACCACTTCGAAAACACTTAAACCCCTCTCTTTTGTGCTCTTTTCCACTTCCCCAATCAGGATTAAAAACGGTTGTAATCGTTTAGGGGATTTTGAGGCAGCACAATGCCTTGAGCAGAGGCTGATTTGAATAATTGACATCCTGGGACATGTCCCTGCAGGCTCTGGGTGATGCCAGATATGTGAGCAGCTCTGTCTCTGTGCCTTTGCAGACCTGAGCAGATCTGACAGCATCATGCAAACCCTTGGTTCTGCTTGACATCCCTTCCCAAAAACCTGTGGCTGTTTCTGGGTGTCTCCTCCTCCCTCTCCGCCCCAGCAACACCTTTATCAGCCACAGGAGGGACATGCCCAAGCCCTGCAGGGGTGCCAGCGTGGATTCTGCAGTGCAGTGCCCTCTGTTAGTGAAAAGGGGTGAGGGTCTGGTCCCTGCTTCCAGGTTTTTAGATGCAGATCCCTGCTTTACTGGCCTTCATGGCAGGAGGAACCCTCCTCACGGGCTGTGACACCATCCATCCCCTGCCCTGGGAGCCTGCAGGCAGCTCCACATCACCTGGGCTCTGAAGGCAGGGAAGGGGAGGGGGTCTGGTACCAAGGGGCTGCCATGGGGGAGGACCTGGGCGAGGTCAAGGGACACACAGGGAGAGAGCCCTGGCTTGGTGCTTCCCACTTTAGGGGGAAGAGGTTGGGTTGAAGAAGCAGCTGCTGGGCTCAGAAGTGGGGTTGCCAGCCCAGGCATGTGGGGAGCCTCCATCCTGGTCCCATCCTGCTGTCACAGACACTTTCCCACCACACTCCAGCTCCAGAGGATGCTGGAGCAGCTTTGCTTGCTCCTTCAGCCCCCGAAGCCCTGCCTGGGTGCTCTGAGCTGCTGGCTCTGAACTTGTGCAGCTTCTTATTTTTCTAATGTAGCTTCTGAAAATACATGGAATGAGCAGTAAATCCCCTGGGACTCAAGACAAGCCCTCAAGACCCTGCTCATCATACCTGTTTCTCCCAGACCAGCCCTGTTGTCTGACAAGAGCCTGTTTTTCTGTTTTTGCAGTAACGTGGACACAGAGAAGTTGTGTGGTAAGTCAAGGGGTATTCCTGCCCTGGAGGGCTCCCTCTCCTGAAGGTCTGTGGTGGGATTTGTGTGTGTCTGACCTAGGCAGGACTGGGCAGTCAGGTGGCATTGCCAGTCCCTGTGCCTGAAGCCCAGCTCTGAGGGTGTCTGTGCTTTTCCCAAGGGGATGGGGAAGGAATCTTCATCTCAGTCCAAGTGGGAGCATGACTCTGGAGAGAGGGGGGAATGTCCCTCTGCAGCACTGGGCTGTGTGTGGGAAGAAGGGGCAGGGCAGGCAGAGATGGAGATGCTCAGGAACCTCACCATTGTCTTCTCTCCTGCTTCAGATTATTTCTCGGGATATCTCGGAGAATACAGGAATGTGCTGTCTGCCCTTGAAACCCTCAATGCTGCTGTGCTGGCTGCCATGGACAAAACCAAGCTGGTAAGGAGGGGACCATGGGAGGGCAGCAGGGTGAAACAGAAGCTGTGGTGATCTTAGCTGCTTGCTTAGTGTTAAATGTGGGGTTTGGAGGCAGCAAATGTGGTACCTCCCAAATCCAGGGGGTGCCTGTGCGTGCTTGGTGAGTGCTGCAGCTGCACAGCCTGGAGGAGGGGGAGCCAAGACTGAGAAGGGGAAGGGTAAATCTAGTGCTTTTGTGCTCTGGAGACATCATCTTCCTCCTCATGGGGCTCTGGTAGTGGCTGTTCCAGCAGCTCCTTGCAGGGTCCTGCCTGCAGCCACTGTTTGTGGAGGCATCGCTGATAATCTGTGTTGAGTTCTGAGCCAAAACAAGGTGTTTTCCACAAAGCAGTGTGCTGAAAAATGGGGACTGCAGGGTCGAGCCTGCTCTGGAGGGACCCAGCAGCCCGTGCTTGGCACAGCCTGTGCTCACAGCCACAAAGCCCGGCACTGGAGAGGGGCAGGGGCCGCTGCAGCAGCAGCAGCAGCACTGTCTGGGAAAAGCCAGGCTACAGGGACAGCTAGGAAATGCTGCAATTCATTGACTCCCAGCCTGATGCAGAGTTCATCCCTGCTGGGAATGCTCTCCCTCCCCCTGCAGCTTGTGCTGATGGGAAGCAGATTGGAGGGTGCTAATTAGAGCAAGCAGCCTCCTGCTCTGAGCCCCCCGCCCGTGTGTCAGAGGGCTGTGGTGCCCAGCTAAAGGCAGCTGGGAAAAGCAGTCCTTCCCTGCTGGAAGGACCCTTCTCGGTGACCTGCAGCCCCCTTTGCCCCTGAAATGTATTAAATGTGCTTGGGGCTTATTCTGTGTTACCTCCTTGGGAAGGGCCAGCCCTTTCCTTCCCTTCAGTGCAGTGGGTTGATGCTTGGTTGGAAGGGAATGAAGGGCATCATCCATGTGAACACCGTCCACTGACGTGTTGATTTGCCAGAGAGGCAAGGGGGGATCTGTCCCACAGTCATCACAGTGATGTTTCTGCCTCTGTAGTGTCAGTCCTTCTCTCTGAGTTTTCCTCTGCCCAGACCCAGACTCGGCAGTGTCTCCCTGTACCTTGGGGAATTTCATGCCAGGAGAGGGAATCACTGGAAAATGCATTTTCTCTTTGGTTCAGCTGCCCTGCCCCCTTCACAGTTATTAACTGCAAGTCCAGAGGGAGAGAAGGAATCCTCTCCAGAGAGCTATGCTTTATTTCAATTCTTCTCTGTTCTGGTTTTCTGTGTGTAATGAATGTGTATATTCATGTGTTTCTCCAAGGGACAGCAGAGTCACTGTCTGCTTCACAGTATTGGTGTGATGCATTCATTCACTTCATAGTTTCTGGTGCCACTGGTGTTCCCTGAAAAGGAGAAGCAGGTTTTCCCTGTTGGAACAGGTTTTTATGGACTCGCTTTTCCACCCATTTGGATCTGCCCAGAGCTGGGGCAGCCCAGTGTTCACAGCACTGCTCTCACCCAGGTGAGATCTGTGCTGATCAGGTGTTCTGAGCTCCTGAGTGCCCTGATGCAGACACTGACCCTCCTGGGAATCATCTCCCTGCTCTCTCCTGGTCTGCTGGGCTCTGGTTTGGGGAGAAGGAAGGAAGGGACAATGCTCTGACCCTGTGGGCAGAGCTCTTGCAGAGCTGTGGGACACCTGCCATTCTAGAGGCTGCCAGAGATGATAAATGCTGCCTTCTTACCTGCTGTGACCTGAATATATTCCCTGATTTGTATTTCCAGAACTGGACTCGAGCTTGAGTTACTATGGGATGAGTGGCTTTATTCAGCTGGATTTTGGGCAGAACTCCCCTCTCTGTGAGCCAGGGGTGGGGACAGAGAGCAGAGACTTCCCATGTTACATCTGCCCCTTGTTCCTGTTGATTCACTGCTGTGACACCCCGGGCTGAGGTCTGAGAGCCCCACTTGGGCAGAGAGACCACCCCATGGAAGAGCCAGGTGAATCATTCCCAGGGAGCTGCTTGTGCTGGAGCTGCAGCCACAGTGCTCTGAGGAGACTGGAAGAGACCTGCCAGCTCCAAAAGCCCTCCCCACAGAGCTCTGCCTCCAGATCAGGGCTGTGCAGGCAGCAGATGTTCTTCCCAGGCTGTATTTAAGAGGACTTCACATGACTCCTGAGCAGGCAGTGATGTCCAGACTGGCTGGAAGAAGGGGAAGGGGATTTCTGACTCGTGCTGGGTCTCACCAGCTGAGCCACAGCATCTCTTGCTCAGGGCATTATCCATCTCCAGTTTCTTACTGCTGCTGCCACAAGATTTCTCACCCCTGCGTCCTCCAGGTACTTCCCCACAGCTGTAAACAGGCTCATGTAAATAAAACCCTACTTTACAGCCAGGAAAAGTCTCAGAGATCCTGAGATGTCTCATTGGCACAAGAAACAGAGCCTGGGGGATGTGCTGGCCTTGCTCGGGCCATGCCAGGGCCATGAGCTGCAGCAAGGAGGGAAATAAGGGAAGCAAAGCTTGGAGGGAGTATTCTGCAGCTCTGGATTTGGGAGCTGCGGTGCCAAAAGCCCTTTTGGTGTGGAGGATTCCCACCTCTGTGGGCCAGGATTCCTGGCATGGATCGATGTCATGTCTCCACAGCTGTGCCCTGGCTGGCAGGCTCCTGGATCTGCTGCCATGCCCCTTGTCAGCTGCAGGATAAATGCTGGGATAAAGCAGGAGAAATGCAAGCTGGGTTTGTCCTCGCTGTGGGACTGCAGGACTCTGTGTGTGTGTGGGCAGTAAAGCTGCTCTTGGCCCCTTTTATGTGCCTGCAGGTTGGCAGGAGGAAACCAAATCATTAGGGGTCCCCAGGCTTCCATCCTCCCTCACTGGGCTGGTAGAAGCATGGTAAAGAAAAGAGGGTTTTTCTCCAAATCCTGTCATTCCCACTTATATTTGTAAAGTATAACTTGATGGCTGTGCTGTAGTGTGCTAATGACACCTTATTTTGTGGCTGAACTTCATGTTTGCAGCAGAGTAGGAAGTGAACTGTGGAAATACCTTGGGAAACAGCCTGATGTTTCTCCCAGGGGGCCTGTGTGCTAAAATCTTTCCATTCTCCAGTCTGCAAACACTGCAAACCAGCCCATAAATGCCTCTCCAAGCCAGGTGCTATTATTTCTCCTTTGGCAGGAACATGACCACCTGTTCCATTCTGTCCTGAGCTTAACTATCTTCGTAAGAAACTAATAAAACCTCTCAAATGCAACGTTATAGCAGCTCCTGGCAACCTGGGGATTTTCATCTGGGTAAAGAGAGCTGAAATACCAGCCCATGCCCAGAGTTCCTTGTCTCATGCTTGCTGGGTTATTTCCTCTGTGACTCCTATCTATGGGGCTTCCCTGTGGGCAGAAAACGCTGTGCTTGGTGAGCCAGAGCACATTTTCACTGAACCTCTGTTTACAGAGGGTTTGACCCACGTGGGGCAGCTCCTGATGAGAGGATTTTGCTTGTTTGCCCCCAGATGAGGAGTGCAAGGAGGGCTGGGCAGCTGGCCTGAAGCAAAGGTGTGTTTTTCAGTTGATTCCCTCGCCTGGCATGACATTTTTCAAGCTGAATTTGGGTGAAGCAGCATTTGGGGCTCTCTGGAGGGATGGTTATTTCCATCCTTCCCTCCAGCACGTTCCCCTGGGTGTGCTGTGTGTGACAGGGCGAGAGACAGGAGGCAGCTGCTCATCCTGTGTGGTGCTGACATGTCCACGTGGGACCCTCCAGGGCCGAGTCCCCTCCGAGCACAGCGTGCCCCAGGCTGGCAGTTGGGTTTTGGGGGGTGGCACCTCAGGCTGACGCCTGTGCCTGTGTGTTTGGGGTGCAAGGACTGCACTGGGGGAGCTGTGGGGCTCGGGGCAGGCTCGAGGTGCCCCCCCCAGCTGTGATGTCAGTGGGAGCAGCGCCTGCTCCTGCTGTAAAACTCCATCCACCCACATCATCCAGGAGGGACACGAGGCTTGGGCCCCCTCAGGGTGAAAGCTGAGAGCATGGAGGGTGCTGGAAGGTTTGCTTGGTGCTTCTCCCTGCACCTGGCCCTTGGAAGGGGTGTGATGTGCTGGGGGAGAAGCATCCAAACCCCATGTAAGGTGAAGATCCATAGGCCAAGGCTGGGGGGGTGCTGGGAAGGACACCTTGGAGGTGGGGACACCCTTCATTCACCTGTGGAGGCTGTGGAGGCTGCTTGCTGGTGGAAGTGCCCTCTGTGCTGCCAGGGAGGTGACAGTATTTGGGTTTGGATGCTCCTGGAGTGACACAGACTGTGCCAGGCCATGTGGGGGGTGAATAATGGATCCTCTGTGCTCCTCTTCACCTGCTTTCTCAGGTGTGTCCTGGGGAGATTGGAGTGCTGGTTGTTCCCTCATAAGCAGGGAATGTGTGGGCTGGCAGGAGCTGGGCAAGCACAGGTAAGTGGTGCTGTCAGGGATTTTGGTTCCTGCCCCCCTTGGGAGTGGGGAGGGGAAGGGCTGGGCAGGGGTCCCCAGCCCTGTGCTCTCCATTGCTGGGGCTGTGAGGAAGGAAGTCTTGTGGGATCAGGTGGGATGCTTGGCTGGGGAGAGCCTGGAGATGCAGAGCTGGAGCTCAGCTTCCCATGGCTGCATCGTGTCGGCTCCACTGCCATCCTCTTCCTCTGGCAGGAAAATGGGATTCATTTTCCAGTAGGGATGAAAACCCTCCAGGTTGCTCTGCCTACTGCGGTGCTGGGGGGTGGCTGAGGCCTTCCTTTGCCACCTCCAGCACGAGCCCAGGGCAGTGCTCAGAGGATGAGTATCCTCTCCACTTTCTCCACTTCCCTTCCCATCCCAGCCAGGCACAGCTGTGCCCAGTTGGATGCAGCTCCTGGACCAGGCTGGTGGCTTGGCTGTGGCACAGAACAACCAGAAAACCACCGGGGGCTCAAGGCCTTCCCCACTCTTCCCCTCCTTTGGCACCAGCAATGGAAGGGTTATGTCCCACAGCTTCTGTACAGAGCTTCTGGAATTCCAGATCCTCAGTGTGTTGGAGAGAAACACAGTAGGAATTGGAAATATTTGACCCGAGTAATGTGGTGGCATTGCTGGACATTCTTTTGGACATGGCTCATGGAGCTCGGGGGGGTGAAGGCAGCCTGGCTCTGGGGCTGTGCCACAGCCTTGGGGTCACACGAGGACACCACAGGGAAGGCAGAGGGGATGCTGGTCTGTCTCCTTGTCTTGTCAAGGAGAGGGGTTGACCTCTCCTGGTGGATGCTTCTGTGGAGCAACCAGCCCTCCTGCATCATGTGGAGACTCCTTCCCACTGCAGTCCCGCCTGTGTCCCTTGAGGAGCTGGAATGGGTCTGGCTGTAGGGAAGGGAGCTGCTGTGACAGCTGGGCTGTGCTCCCCAGCTGCTCCCCCCTGCAACTTCCAATCCTTTTCTAATCATCTGCTGAGCTGAGTCAGTTCACTGAAGCAGCAGCAAAGCCAGGTGAGGAAATGCCTGTTCAGGGAGCTGAATCGGCTCCCTGAAGCACCAAATGACCTTTATACCAAAATTACAAGGAGCGAGTTCAGTTCCCTGGTTTTCAGCTCATCTCCATACCCAGCCCTGAGCTGCTTCAGTGCTGGGATCTGGAATTGCCTGCTGTAGTAAAGTGGCTGCAGTGCAGGCACCACGTGGACCTTCCCCTCCTCGGCTCCTTCCTCCCATCCCTGTGGCTCCCCACAGACCTCGGGGGTCCTGCTGTGCTGACAGCTGGAGCAACCTTGTTCCCTGTGCTGGCAGCTGCACTTCCATTAGGAAAGGACAGCTTTGCTGCCATGGATGGGCACGGAAATAACCCAGAGTGTCAATGAGAAGCAGTTTGTTCCTTTTGGAGCACTTTAATTGACTTTGCACCCCTGTAGCAGCACAGGAACTGCCCTCGGTCACTGCTGCCGCAGCTCTGCCCGGAGCAAGGTGGTATTTTGGAGTCCCTCCTCCTGTAGCTTGACAGTGGGATGGCTGCCATCTATCTACTGGAATTTGGTGTGCACATACTCAGCTCCGTGCTCCTGGTACTCGCCCTTTGTCATCCACGCGCGCTGGAAGGACGTGAGAGACGCTGCCATGGAGCCCCCCAGCCAGGCCGCCGTGCCCCTCTCCGGGCTCGCCAGGACATCGATCTGGACGCCCGTGCCTTGGGAAAGGAGGTTCAACCCTAAGCACATCCTCTCTGGGAAGCCAGGAAACATGGAGGAGCCACCTGAGAGCACAATGTTGCCCAGCACGTCCCTCCTGGCGTGGTCGGGCACCGTCTGGAGGCTCTGCCAGGCCAGCTGGTGCAGCCCGGGGCAGCCGTGCTGGAGCAGCTTGGGCTGGAAGAGCGGCTCCGGGCAGCAGAACCGCTCCTTGCCCAGGGTTATCCAGCGCCCATCTGGCGTCTGGAATCGGGCTGGATGATGGCAACCTTGGTCCTGGAGGTCCCTTTCATAGTCCAGGGAGACGTAGCAGCACTGCTTCTTCAGCTGGGACAGCGTCTTCCTGGTCAGGGCGTGCAGCGCCGCGGGCTGGTTGGGGCTCTCCAGCAGCAGCTGGTGCAGGTGGCTGGAGAGGAGCTCCCCGGCCACCCCCAGGCGCTGGGTGCCCTTCCTCAGGGTCTGGCCCAGGCAGACGGTGGTGACGTGTGACACTCCCGCCCCGGCCTCCACGGCCAGCCCGGTGACTCTGCCGTGGGCGCAGAGGGACAGGAACCCGGTGTTGGCCATGTGCAGGGCTGGCACCCCGAAGCTCTCGAAAAGCACCTCGGCTGCCTTTACCCTGTCGGTGGCAGGGCAGGACGGGGACTCAGCCAGGAGCACCGGGTGTTCCTCTGGCGGAACTCTGAGGCTGCAGGAGAAGAGGTGGCCCCACAGGCTTTTCATGCCATCCCAATCCTCAACGATGCCGTGCTGGAGCGGGCAGGACCTGGCTGCTGCCGCGAAGCCTTCCGTGCTTCCCGTGGCAGTGGGATGCTGCTGGCTGTCCCTCCTGGGGCCTGCACTGCAGGGGTGCAGCAGCACAGTCCTTAGAACAAACTGGGGCTGCCTCTGCCCCGCAAAGCCACCCCGGGTGAAGCTGCTGCCGCTGTCGATGATGACTGCAGGCTTCAGCATGGCTGGCACTCCGGAGGGATGCCGGGGAGGGAGGAAGAGCCTGCAGTGGGACAAGAGGGGTCTCGTGAAGCCAAACCAGGCCCAAGTACCTGCTCTACAAGGGAGAGCAGCTCAGCCCCACTGCAGGACAGCAGTGCCTGCTCTAGAAGTGTCTGGGTACGTGTCTCAGCCTTTCCTCCTGTTTCCTCGCTCCATGACTCGCTGAGTATCCCTCCTTGGGTACCTTGTCTCCCTCCCTGGGGGCTTGGAGATTTTCTGGCAGTGCAAGGACAGAATTTCAGGTGGTTTTAAGGAAGCAAGGGAAAACTGGACAGGAGATTCGAGTGGTTGGACCGAATCCAGGGCTGTATCCAAAGGAGTGTGCCCAGGAGGTCAAAGGAGGTGATTCTCCCCTGGTGCTCACTCTGCACCTCTGATCCAGAAGGACAGCGGTGGGGAATGGGCACACAGACCCATATTCCTCCTGGACACCCCTCCAGTGCCAGGGGGCAGGTGGGCTGGGGCTCACAGGGGCTGTCACTCACTTGTACTCAACGAGTGACATGGGGAAGGTCTGTGGGGTGACCCTGAACACCAGCACATGTCAGACATTCATCACGGAACCTCCCATGGGAGCAGAGGGGCTTGGCGGTGTCTTCCCAGGGAGAGAGGGCATGAAGCCAGCCCCTATCCTGGCCTGCCAGTGGTGAGGGATCCCTGGAAGGGACTTCATGCACCTGGGGGATCGCCGTGGGGTCCCAGCCTTGTCCCAAGAGCCCTGGTGCGAGCAGAGCCGTGTGTGAACGGGTGAGCACGAGGGATGTTCTGCCAGCCCTGGAACCCTCCCTGAAGCTGGGGACAGTCCCTTTACCTTGTGGCTTGTGTCCATCTGCTCTCCTCCACGGCTCCCGGAGCTGAGAGTGCTGGGGCCAGGGCTGAGACTGCTGGGGCCGGGACTGAGGGTCCTTTGGCTGGAGCGCAGATGGAACCATGCCTGTGTTCCCTGTTGTGATCTCACAGGCAGTTGCCCAGAGGGTTCTTCTGCCCTATAGTGTCACTTTTTTTCTGAAATAACTAAACATTTGATTGACATCCACCTCTTCGAGTTTATTTAAGGGCCAACCCCTGCCAGGTGTGGCTCTGCTTCCCCGGCATGGAGTCAGAGGTGCCTGACAGATCCTCTCCTCTTCCCCACAGAGGTATGAGACCTCCTCGAAGATAGAGCAGTTCCTGACCCGATTCCTGCTGCGGGAAACCATGCACCAGCTGCAGTCCCTGCAGGCATCCCTGGAGTGTGCTGTGGACACCGTGGAGGAGCAGGCGGGACGGGAGAGGTAATGGGGTGGGACGCGCTGGTCCTTCCCAGCCCCGCTCGTGTGAGTGCAGGATGGGGCAGGGTCTCCCTGGGAGGGACATCCCAGAGCAGGATCTGCCCTTTCCAAGCCTGCCGTGAAGCTGATCCCTCTGGGAATGACTTCAACCCCTTGTTCTGCATTTTTTCCTTCCAGAAAGGACATAAAAAAACCTGAGACTTCAGTTGGCCTGAGGTCGGGGAGACGGTGTGGGCGCAGAGGACAGAAAAACATCTGTCTGTCTCCAACAGACCCCTATTCTGGGATGCTGACAACAGGTACCTGCAGCCTGGTGTCCCTGGTGTCTCTGGGGTTGGTCTGTGCCTCCCTGGAGCCTGGAATGGGTGTGGGATCAGCACAGAATCAATAAGGTTGGAAAAGACCTCTATGATCGAGTCCAACCATTATCCCAGCACTGCCAAGGCCACCATTAAACCATGTCCCCAAGTGCCACATCTACAGCATCACTGGGCAGCTCTGGGATGGAGCCTGGAGCATCTCACCAAGATGCCAGCTTCTGTGGGGTGTTGTATCCCTTGGGCAGTAGGAGAAGTTTCAGCAGAAATATCAGGGTTTTGGTTTAAATCAGAAGTTTTTAGAAGATCTGTGGTTTTCTGGGAGTTGAGCAAGCTTTTGCAATGACAAAATTGAGGGGTTTTTTGGTGACATCTCCGTGCTCTTTGCCGTGCAGGTGTTTGTGTTGAGGACAACAGCCAGTGGATGGCTCAGATCAACAGGCTTCAGCAGCTCATCGAGAAGCTGGAATGCAAGGTGTGTGGCCAAGGAGAGCTGCTGGGGGCTGCCCCACACCTTGGCACGGCCAGGTCGGTGCTGGGACCTCTCCCTGTGCCAGCACCCCCCATATTCGGTCCTGGCATCGTCACAGAGCTCCACCCACTCACCAGACCCAGACTTGCAGTCTCCAGAGCCACCCTTCTCCTCTCAGCTCTGCTGACCCTCCCATGGTCCTGCTGATCTGACAAGTCAGTCAGGACCCACCAACCCCACAGGTCATACGCCTGTCCTCCCCCAAGTACCCCAGGAAGATCCCCAGTGTACTGCCTGTCCCCTGAGCTGGGCTGCGGGTTCCCAGGTTTGCCTTGTTGCAGTAACTCTGATTTTCCTCATGGTGTTGAATGCAGAGCCCACGCCTGGAGCCGCTGAAGGAGGAATCCATGTGCAAAGGACAAGATGCAGTAAGTCCCTGTCCTGCTGCTCCTTGTTTGCAGGTAACCCAAAATGTGCACAGATCCCCCCTCACACAGCTCCTGTGCCCCGAGACTGGGTGAGCTCTGCCTGTGGGCTGACGAGGAGTCTGCAGCCTGGTGATGGAGCAGGGTGGGATTCAGGGCTGTGAGCTGGGTTGGGACCATGCCCAGGACAAATGCAGCTCCCTCAGGCCCCTGAAAGCCCTGGGCAGTGCCCACAGCCAGCCCAGAGGAAGGTGATGCTCTGCTTGTGAGTGCCCAAATCCCCCAGGTGTGCTCCATGCACAGCCCAGGTGGAGGGATCCCCAAGACCCTTTCTGCTGTGGGAAGGACACTGGGAACTGCAGCAGGACCCCACCACCAGGGGATGGAGCATCTCCTGCTGGTGCAGTCCTCAGTGTAAAGGCAACCTGCCCAGGTGGGGAGAAACCACTTCATGTCACCGTGGTGCCAGTCCCACTGTGGTGCCAGTCCCACTGCGGTGCTGTGCTTGCTTGGCACCGCAGTGTCCCGCAGCAGGGTGGGAGGAGGGAGGGCAGGAGGGGACAGGCCAGTCCCTGATGCCCTTCTGTCCCTTGGCAGCACATCCTGGTGGCCACGAGCAGCATCGAGGAGTTCCGGCAGGCGTTCCGCTCCTACACCGAGGGCACCGCCGGGCACAGCAGCTGCCTGCAGTAAGTGGGGGGGTCTGTGGGGTGGTTTGTGGGGTGGCTCCCCCAGAAATGGAGGCTTTAATATGGCACCTTTAGGGGGGACAAAAGGGTTTTTGTGGAGTGTTTCGTGTGCTGGTCGGTGCAAGGGTGGGTTCAGCACGCAGGGGTTGGACCTTGCAGAGAGGGTGAGTGTGTCAGGGCCGCAGCACTGTCCCTGCCTGCAGTACTGTCCCAGCTCCTGCTGCAGGTATTCCCAGTAAGAACCAGTGTCTGGGAAGGAGCGGGTGGGTTTTATGCCCGCAGGAATGGCATGTGCATGTTAAGTGAGTGCATGAACTCCTCCAGCACTGAAGGACTCGAGAGCAATGGAAAGGTCAAGGGCAGAGCTCATGCAGAGCGTTGATTTATGGACAGTGTGTGTGGGAAGCAGCTGTAAGCACCTGAAGCTGACCCTGCATGAGGCCAAGGCTGCCCCCAGCACTGCTCCAGGGCTCTGCCTGCAGGGACACATCACTGCCAGCCTGTCCCTGAGATGCCACAGCTGCTCCCTGAGCGGCACTTCCCTTCTCCCGTGGGAGATTTCAAGCCGCTTTCAGCAGGGGATGTTCATGCTGTTCCCATTTAAAGCGTCGTTTTTTCAGCTCTTCAGTTTCAGCAGCATAAATGCACGTTTTCAGTCCAAACAAAAGGAAGACGCTCGTTGTGACACATGTGACGGGGAGAATGGGAGTTCTTTTCCATGGAATTGATGGGCTTTTTTGTCATGAGAGCTATTTGTGGAGACAACAGGGTGGCGTGTCACGGGCAGGCTCTCCATGTGAGTGGAAAGCTGGAGCCAAGCCCAGGGAGACTCCACAGTCCTGGTTCACTCCAGGGAATTGCAAAGCCCATCATGGCCCCTCAGGGGGATGCAACCTCAGAGCTGCTGGGGGAGTTGTTTGCTGTCCCCCCAGAGCTTGGCCCCCTCCAGCAGCCCTTGGCAGCAGCTGGAGGAAAGGTTCATCCTCAGCTGGAATTGCTGCTGCTGCAGCCGAGTGCAGCTGGTTCCCCCAGCCCTGCACCCCAAGCCTTGTGCTCTCACCCCCCTCCTGCTACCCCCCATCTTCCCAAAGGCTGGAGGCCCAGTCTGTTCCTGTGGCAGGAGGGAGTGTGGGGAGCATCACTGGGGCAATGGCATCGCTCTGGGGGCAGCAGGCTGTGGGTTCGTGCTGTGAGCTCAGCTCCTGCCTTTGTGCCTCAGTTTCTCTCCATGTGAATGGTGACACCTCCTCCAAAGGGCTGGAAGGATGAGCTGTGCCAGTGCTGGGGATATGTGGAAATAATAAAACACTGCTGATTCCTGAGCAGCAGTGAAGACCAGTTTAAAAGCGTTAAAGCTCCTTTGCCGCCTGGACACAGGAGCTGTGAGGCAGGATTTGGGTTTGGAATCCCCTGGAACTGTGTGCTCCAGCAGCCACAAACTGGATGCATCCAAACAGCGCTTTGGAGGCCTCGTGGGGAGACTGATGTGCCCGGGCTGGTGGGGCACACGTGGCTGTGCCAGCGCCCAGCCCCAGCTCAGGGTCACTCCTGTCCCCACAGTGTCTCTGCCTGCAAGCTGACAGACGAGGCCTGCTTCATCCTGTATGAGTTCTGGCAGGACGTGACCTCGTGGAGAAGGTGGGAGCTCTCCGTGTGCAGGGCTGGGGCCGGAGGCTGGGGGGGGCTCAAAGGGGTTTCCTCTCGGGGCTCCCCCTCCTTGCCCAGCCTGTCCTGCTGCTGGCACTGCTCACAACTGTGAACTGCTGCTCAGAACACCCTCATGTGCACCCCGGGGCTGTTGGCAGCATAAGAGTGTGCCTGGTGCAGCAGCAGCCCTGTCCCCATGCGTGGACAGGGATCCTGGCACCAGAGGCTGCACCCCCTGCACCCCTCTGACCCTGCTCCCTGTTTTACAGCCACTTGCAGTCCAGCTGCAGCAAGACTTTCCAGCAGTCCATCATCAGCTTGCTGGAGTCCCCGGAGCTGCTGACCACCATGCTCTTCCCAGGTGAGGGGGTCCCCCAGTGCCACGCTGTGCCCCGGGTGTGCTGCAGAGGGCAGGAGCAGTGCAGGAACAGGCACAGGGACTCCCTCCAGAGCAGAAGATTGGGTTGGGGTGATCTAAATCGGGTTTTTCAAGCCAGGGTGAGACCCACTGTCCCCGGCAGGTTTGGTTGTGTGAGCTGGTGGTGCTGCAGGGTCTGTCCCCTGCCCAGGGATGCTCTTCGGCCAGGACAGCCAAGCAGCAGGGGCACTTCCCAGGTAGCAGATAAGCTGGGCCCTGCCTCAAATACACCTGGTGCCTTGTTTTGGTTTTCACCTGAGCCCTGAACCTGTTCTGGAAAGCTCTGGTGCTCTTGGGTCAGTCCCAGTGGCTGCATCCAGGCTCAGCCCAGTGCTGAGAGAGGGGAGAGGCCAACACAGGGAATGTGCACATTCCTGTGGTACCAATAGAAATGTGACCAGATGTGGGAACTGGGGTCCACATTAAGCCCCAGTTTACTTTCAGGGATCACATTCAGGTCTTGTGTAAAATAACATAAAACATGGATTAATTTGGACTGAACCCTCTGCTGCCAGCACTGCTCCTGACCTGCCAGTCCCACTGCCCACATTCCCAGTGCTCTCCTGCAGAAGCTGCCACAGCTCAAGGGGGATCACCCACCTCCAGGCCATCCCATGGCTGCGCTCCCTGCCTTGGGAGGGGGGTGGATGCTTTAGGGCCAGATGCCAGGGACCTGCAGGGCCAGGACCCCCATCCCTGCCACCCTACATCCCTCTCCTGTTTAACACTGCCCTCCCTGACCCCTCTCCCTCTCTCCCCAGCTTCCTGGTGGATCATGAACAACAACTGACCCAGGCAGACACCTCAGGACACCATCAGCATGCGGGAGGACACGGAGCCCTCGGCACAGCCCTCGCCTTCCCTCATGTTCCTCCTCTCCCTGTCCCTCACCCCCTCCTGCTGCCCAGCAGGGCTGCCTGCCCTTGGCCCTGCCAGTGTTTCATCCCTGCTGTTTTCCTGTTAATTTACTTATTTATTTCCACCCCAAGACAGTCTCTGAGCTGCCTGGCGAGAGCGGAGCACTCCCTGAGTGCTGGGGGAGCTGTGTTTGGGGGTGACACCCTGGCCCTTGGGGGACCACTGGTCTGGTTGCTGTGTCCCCTCAGCCCCTCTTGCACTCCAGCTCCTCTTCCTCCCGGTTCTAAGGGCTGCCCAAGGCTCCATGGGGTGTTGGGATGGGCAGGGGGACATGGCTGGGGCCAGCTGTGACATCCCTGTGCCCTGCCCACCAGAGCCACCCTGGGCCAGCAGTACCTCTGCCCAGGGAGCCAGGTGGCCTCATATGGATTGTGAATAAGTGTTTTATAGGGAAAAAAGTATTTAATGAACTATTTCTGGCAAGGTGTGTCTGATCAGGCCCTGGCACGCTGGCAGCCTGTGCAGCCACTGCAGTGGCCTTGAGACTGACCTTGTGTTCCCCAGCTGTGCCCAAGGCTGTGCCCGTCCCCAGCACACCCTGCTCCTCAGGGAGACAGCATGGATCCAGCCCCAGCACATCCCAGTCCCTGGGGAGGCCAGAGTGGCTCCAGTCCCAGCATATCCCAGTCCCTGGGGAGGCCAGTGGCTCCAGTCCCAGCACGTCCCTGGGAAGGCCAGTGTGGCTCTGTCTCTGTTGCTTCATGAGTTCACATAAACGGGCATTAGCACCAGGCAGTGCTGCCAGAGAGGCTGTAGCTGAGTTAATGGTGATGGGCACCATGGGGGGGACACACAAAATGAGGGGGAAAGGCCCAGGGCTGGAGTGGCCCAAGCCCACCTGGTCCATGGGTCGTGCTCGTGGTTCTGTTGGTGCTGGAGCAGCAAATCCCTCACTGAGCTGGGGTGAAATGCATCATCACAAACAGTGTGGAGTGAGAGGAGAAGTGCATACGGGACAGGCAGGGACCCCAGGGACTCTTGGCATGGAGGACACCACTGCCCTTGCACCCGTGTCTGCCCCCAGCACCCACATGGGTCACCACAGGTGCCTGCACCCTCAACACCCTCAGTGTTGTTACCACCCCTCAACCTCTTTTCCCTGGTGCTGCTCCACCAGAAATACTAATTTTGACTGTTTCTTCCCCAATCCCTGGAGGCAATAAGTAAAATCCGTGGCTGAAGGGGCAGTGAGTGCAGCTCCATCCTGGGCACACCTCACACACACTGTGCTGGGTGGGTCTGACACAGTGTCAGCCCCTGCCCTGGTACCATGGAGTGACAACACAGAGGGGCTTGCTGGGTTTGGGGTGCTTGTTTTGCCCCAGCAGAAGCTTTCTAGAGGCTCCCTGGGTTTGAGATATGGGGGTGACACTGGTGATGCCCAGAAATGGGATCAGGGAAGCTCCTCATTGGAGGGGAGGAACAGCAGCTCAGATATGCACCAACAAACCCTGTCCTACGTCCCAGGGCTGACTCAGGGACCAAACCACAAATGCTCCTCCCAGTTCCCTGGGGACCCATCCTCTGAGTGCCCAATTATGTACCCTGTTACTGATAACTGCTGACTGCCCTGGCCAAAACCATGGTCACAGGGCAGGGGAGGCAGCTCCACTGCCAAGGGCCACCTTCCCCCCATGGGAATTACACACAAGGGCCACAGTGGGGCCGTGGGCCATTGGTAAAGGGACAGGGCACAGCCAGGGTGGGTTAGAGATGGGTACCCAGAGCATCCACAAAGGGCACAGCTGCAGCAGGCACTGATTTGGGATTCTTGAGCTGCCTCCCCAGCCCCACGTGGGGTTTGCCCCTCAGGTTTGGGCTTCTTCACCACTGGATTAGTGTTTGCAGGAGCCTGGAAAGCAAAATCCTCAGATTAGGCCAACATGTGTGCAGGGGGCTGGGGGCACAGGGCTGGCACTGCCAGCCAGCTGTGACAGCACCAACCCTGCAGGCTGGTCTGTGCTCAAATAAAAAAAGTAAGTTCAAAAAAGCTCAGAAAAGAACACACTTAACCAGGAACTCCAACATCACTGAGTATGGGGCTGAACTCCAGCTCTGCTCCCAGGCTTTGCTCGGGCTCCCCACAGCACCTGCAGCAGCATCACCACTGCAGGGGAGGCAGCTTTTGTCCCTGCAGGTCCCCAGCCAAGGTCATGGCCTAGCAGCATCTCCCCAAAAAACCCAACAACAGCCTAAGCACTGCAGAAAACACCTCTGCCCCTTCCCACAGAGAAGGGGGAGCTGGAGGATGAATATAGTCTTTTTATTGACTACTTTTGAGTAGAACAAACTAAATACATCTGTAACAGTTTGGGTTCCTTTATACAGGACATTAAATAAGTTATGCACAGGAATGAAGTAACAAATTTCTATTACAGAATTAAATGTCAAAAAAAAAAAAATAGAAACCTCAACCCAATGTCTTCCCATGTCCCAAGTTCACATTTATCATTCCATGTTTTTTTAAAAACAAACAAACAAACAAACAAACAAAAAAAAAACAAAAAAAAAGAAGCAATCATTCTAATCATGACTGTTAGTATTCCATTCATTTACACTGGGGTTAATTTTAATACACAGCCATCAACATTGCATGAGAATTATGGAAGACAATCTATTTACAAGCAACTCCTTCCAGCTCTGCCCTGCTCTCCCTTCCCATCCCACCTTGGCACAGTTGGCCCCCACTGACCCACAGTGTCAGGTCTGTGGGTGAGGATGGGATGTCACAAGCACATAACTTACCTGAGGCTGCTCCAAATGTGCCCCTTAGGGCAGGAGAACCCTTCAGCCCTGGCTAAGTGGGGGTGCCAGGGCAGCCCCTTGCCCTGGTGCTCTCACAAGCCCCAAGTGCTGCTCGTCCCCACTGAGGCATCTTCTCCATGCCATGGATTTGGGCACAGCAAACACGGACAGAGCTGCGTTCTGGGATCCTTGTGAGGGCCACCTGGGGCTCCCTGGCCACCTCCATCTGCCCCAGGTTGGGTGACAGCTCTGGGCTGCTGCAGGTCAGGGTGGCTCCAGTGCCTCCCCCACTGGGGGCTGCCTCAATCCCAGTGGCTGTGCTGGGCTCCATGCAAAGGGCTCTCCCAGCACCGACTCCTGGGGACACGGGGGATACACTTCCCTCTGCCTCTCCCAACCCATCTTCAACACCAGCCACGGTGGCTTTTTTGCATAACAAAACCTTGCAGACACACGATCACCCATCCTATCCCCCAACAGCAGCCTCCCAAAGAGCTTTCCCCAGGAGCCAGGGCTGGTGCAGCGGGGTCTCCCGTTCATCCCCGCCGCGAGCTCCGTCACGATTCATTACAGCTCCATTATTCACCTCCAATCGAGAAAGTGATCGAAAATAATTTGGGAATTACTCGCCTCATTGGGCTCCAGCCCAGCAATTGCACACACACAGTCACGGAAACACGGCTTTGCTGAATAGGTGGATTTCCAGAGCCTGTTTGCGCTACTGTGGGAATTTGGAGCAGCTCCCAGAGGGCACATGCCCGTCCCTCCCATGGGCTGCACCACTGCTGACCTCTGTGAGGCATCCAAGAGCAGCCCTGCTGTGCCCTGGGACAGCCCTGCTGCAGGTCTGTGTCAATCATTGCCCTGAATCCCTCCAATCCCTCCTTCCACTCCACAGCAGGGAACCTCCAAGTGACAGATCTCCCCAGGCTGATCACAGCATCCCCTCGCTCTCAGCCTGTATTTTTGGGATGGTCTCCAAAGGCTGGACGAGGCAGATCCTGGGCATCTCCCGATGCAGCATCACAGGAGACTCCCAGGGTTGGGGGGGAGAAGTGACACAGGACACCAAGTCCTGCCTGTCTTTTAGCAGTTTGGCCGATGTGTGCAGAGAGCACAGGCTGTAAATCACCCCCTTGCACCCCGTGAGGATCCCTGGGCTCAAAAACAACGGCAGGAACTCACAAACCAACAGTGAAAAAAACCCAACGCTTTCTGCACACCCAAACAGCCCCCAGGTGGAAAGGGCAGCTGCTCCCAACCCAGATCTGCTCTGCACGTGTTACCTCAGCACAGGTCCCACCCAGGAAGCACAAAACCGTCTGTCCCACCACAGAACGGGATGAAATCCAGGCCATCCCACAGTACTTCCCCAGCACTGACATTCGGTTTAAAGCAGACAAATCCTCTCCTCCCCCTCTGCAGCCATCAGATGCCAAGCTGCAGGCAGAAGCAGCGGGCTCAGCTTTTGCCACGGCACTAGAGGATGGGATGCTCCTGCTGGGGAATCGGCTCCGGTCTGTTCACAGCAACAACCGGCTGGCACGGCCACCTGAGGCACCACTGCTGGGAGTAAGGAAAAAAACAGGGATATTATGGAAGAAAGGTGGTTGAAGGAGACAGCTCAGACACCTCGGGAAGCCTGAGCACACCACAAGGATGGGGCTCCCTACTTGGGCACCACACGCTCAGCATCTCCCGTGTGTGCCAGCACTCTCCCACAGTCCAGGTCCCCCAAGTGGGTGCCCAATGTTCCCCAGGTCCTGACGATGCTCTGGTGCCCCCCCAGAGAGGGGCAGGGAGCTGCTGTGGGCAAGGCTTGTCCCAGTACATGAGCCACAAAGGAAAAGGCAGGATGAGATGGCAAAGCCAGAGTGTCAGCGCTCCGAGGAGACGGCGCGATGGGTCAAACGTGTCAAGTGATAACAGTTGTTGTGGGGTTTCTTTTCAGCTTAAAAAAACTCGGGAAACTAATCAAATAGAGAGAGCCAACACCTCCCTCCTAGAGCCCGTTTGTATCTATTGCTGTCACAGACGCTGGGGTGGAGGAGCGGGAGGTGGTCGCCGAAGTCTTCTCAAGGGCCGGGCTGGGGACGCCGTCGAGGCTCTTGGCACCTGCTGCCACCCGGCCCGTGGGCAGAGCCAGGGGCTTGCTCTGGCCATGCAGGCCTTGGCCACAGATCCGGTGGTGCCTCTCCCAGTCCTTGTGCTGGCAGAAGGAGCCGCAGTACCGGGCGATGTTGCAGCCGCTGCACGTCTCGCTGGCCTTGCGACCGCAGTTCCAGCAGCTCTGCAAGACCAAAGACACCACACTTGAAAGGGGTTTAGTTTCCAAGAGCTGCAGGATGCTGCTGACTCAGCTCTGGAGGGGACTGTCCATCCCCTCTGGCCCAGATCTGGTAATATTAAAATGAGCAATCCATTAATTCCTACTATTTCACAGCTCTTTGCCAACGGTTCTAACCCCTGCTCCTCTTCTCTGCCCAAGGCTGCTGCCAGACTGCTCCGGTCACATCCTCTCCCCTAGATCCACCCAAATGCAGAGAGGAAACAGCAGGCAAAGACTGAAAAACATGCTGCAGATGCTGCTGTTGGGTCTTTTTATTTCCTGTTTGAAGCAGCTCTATTTTGGTATCGCTCCCAGCCAAGCGCTCTCCGCTGGGATTACGACATGCTGCAAAGGCACCATTTGCTCCGCACCCTGCCTAGCTGCACAAGGGGTTGGAACAGGCCAATTTGGAAAAGAGAAAGCTCATCTGAAAGCCTCCCAGCCAGGTGGAAGCACTGCCAGAGCCTGAGCTTCAATCTGGAAGCAGAGCAAAGCCCCTCTGGCTGCCGGGAGAGGAGTCAGCTGGTGGGCTCCTGGCGTGCCACCGCTTCCCTCGGAGCGCAGGGCAAAGGGCCAGCGCCGGAGCGGCGGCTGCAGCTGCTCCGAGGAGGGGAGCTGGTGCATCAGCTTCCCTGCAGCTGCATCCAGGCACAGCAAACACATACTGGGGAGGGCGAGCTCAGCTGTGGGAACGCAGCCTCTGTCAGAGCCAGCTTGCTCTGATCCTGCCCAACGGGGCACCTTTGTGGGGACACCGCTGCTGCGACCCCCGGCAAAGAGCTGGGCAAGTAGAGAAGTGGGGTGGTGGGAGATGCTGGGCTGTGCCAGGCAGCCCTGTTGTGGGGAAGGCCAACAAGATTCCCCACTCACAGGGTCTGCACTGGAGCCACCAGCTCCTGATGATCATTTACAGTCTGGCAGCAAAGCACCAAAGAGAGCGGGTTGTGAGCGAGCTGCTCCAGAGCCAGCACATCCCCAAGGCTCCTCCACTCCAGGAGAAGCAGGACTTGTGACCAAAAAGCCCCTACACCAAAGGCTGTGGTGACTCTTGGAAAACTGGGTCACCGCTTCACAGCTGTTTACACTTGAACTGTTTTTGAACTGTGTTGCAAAGGTTACATGATGTGCCAGAACACAGGACAGCTTTTAGAGACGTGCTCTGGGGCTTGCACGGGGGGTGCTCGACATCTCCCAAGGTCCCACACTGCTTCCCAGCATGGCTGGAGGAGGAGGAGGACACTCCTCTGGTATTCCCCTACAGAGAAATCACTGCTTGTCTCATTCCTCCTGTGGCTTACTGAGCAGTTCCACCCACTCCCATCACGTGTTTATTGACCGGTGCATTCAACAGCTAAACAGAGAGCTGCATCCACCAGCATCACTTTCTCTTTGCTTCCACACCTCTCTCAATCCCACAAAACCCCTGGCCATTACACTGGGCTCAGCTCAGGGTCCCCAGCAGTACCTTCATGTGGCTGTTGCACACACACACAGGTGCTGCAGACACTGTTTAGGCTGATTCCGTGCCAGCAAAATCAAAAGCAGAAGGGATTTTTTATGATATCAGCTCATTCCTTTAGTTATTGATCAGACAGAAACTTCTAAAAGGAAAAAGTGCACAAGCCCAGGGCTGGACAGGGCTTGGAGCAACCTGGTCTAGTGGGAGTTGTCCCTGCCCATGGCAGGAGGTTTGAAACAAGATGACCTTTAAGGTCCCTTCCAACCCAAACCATTGTGCGCTCTATGATTCCACGACAAGGGATGGGGGACCTGCAGGCTCTGAGCCACCATCGGGCAGGGCCTGGAAGGAAAGCCCCTTCCTGGAGACATCCCCTGGCCACGTTACCTCCGTGGACTCCTCCTGCTCGTTGATCACCAGGAAGGCGTCCTCGGTGGCCTGGCGCTTGGCGTCGGCGATGGTCTGCTCCATGCGCGCCCGCTCCGAGGCGATCATCTCGAACGCCTTCTGCTCCGCCTCCGCCACCGCCTTCTGCACCTCCGACATGGCCTGGCGCTTCACCTCGTTCACAGCTTCTTCTGGAAGGAGAGAGCGGCGTCACCCCCCTGCCTGAGGAGCGGGACGAGCTGCCCAGACAAAGAGAGGTGCAGCGGAGCGTTCCCAGAGAGCCACGGCCAGCACCAGCATCCCAACCGCTCCCAGGAGCGGCCAGGCCAGGCTCAGTCCCACGGGATCCCCAGTGGCACCACAGAGGAGCAGAGCCCTTTGGAAGGCCCAGGGCGGGGATGTTGGCAGCCAGATGTGCACATCCTGGGGCGTTCCTGCAGCTGGCCTGCTGCTGTTTCTGCATAGCATCTGTGTTTACCCCAGGCGATCCGGCAGAATCCCCGGCCGAGGTCACCAGCAAACACTCACCAGCTTTTTTCCAAATCTCCTCAGTGACGTAGCCCGTTCCCGACCTGCTGCTGAACTCCCGCAGTGAATCTGTTGGAATAAGGGACACAGGGAAAGGTTGGCAAAGCCTCATCTCCCCCACCTGCTGCTTAAAGTGCCCAGAGGTACCTCAGGACATCGGGGGGCAGGGCCAGCTAAAACTCAAAGCAGAGGGTTCCGAGGGTTAAAGCCATTCCTCAAACACTCAGACGACAAATTACAACATTTAATTAGCACCTTGCATAATTTATGACATTATATGACCTGTTTCCATCTCCTGGTACTCTATAGCAACAGGCAATACTTATAAATACATGTCATTCAACATCTGCACTGTCCAGAGACCCTGAGCACCAGCAGTTTACATTAAGCACAGCACTTCCCACTCCCTGGGCAATTCAGAGGCTTGAACTGATGGACAAACTGTCCCCAAAGACACCTGGGGATGCTGCTTGATGTTTAACTGCACCTTCTCACAAAAGCAATGGAGCTTGAAAATTATCCCTAGGTCCCATGAGCGGAAAAGCATCAAAAGCATTCCAAATTTATATTAAAATATATTACCTTTAACAACAGCTGTAAGTGTATTAGTCATGATATACTTAAATATAGAAGGGCTAAAAGCTGGCTGTACCCCTCAGGCTGCCACACACGCCCAGCCACTCCATGCTGACAGCTGGAGCCATGGGCACTAGAATTTCTTGCAGGAGGATTCACTCTTTAGTTTGTACACAAACAAGTGGAATACATATCAAATTGACATCTATTCTTGTTAGAAAAAAAATCCACTTTTATTACTGAATGATCACAGCTTTTTTTTTCCCCAGGACTTGATTTACAGCATATTTGTTAGGATGGAAATTAGAATTATATCCAAATAAACCAACTCATCATTTTAGACTTGTTTTTTGTATAGGGTCAAACCGCTGCACACTGGAGGGGGAAAACTAGTCAGCTTGAATAAAGTTAAGTTGACTCATGGTACAAAAATAGAATTAAGGTAGTTATTATACTTAGAAAAGTCTTTGGTATTTTTAGAATAAGTAGACCTTGACGTTTAGAATCCTTTAGGCAAGAAGGACTGGAAGGGGAAGAGAGGCAGAGCCAAACACCTCTCCTGCCTTTTCACCCTCAGGTTTCTCAGCTTTGGCTGTGTTTGGTCAGTAAACACGGCTCTGTGACAAGGAAGAGAGACTCTTCTCTGCCATAAGAAATGATGCCTTTAGATGCAAACAAGTGTTGCTTCCAGGAGCTCACTCAGGAGCTTCCACCTATCCAACGACCTGCCCCTCCTCAAAGCTTTGAGAACAGTTATGCGCCGCTTAATTTGCATTACAATTCGAACATATTATTACTGTATCACTTGTGCCTAACATATCTCTGTGCTAATTAAGAACACCCACTCAGGAGGGGCCGGACTCACCGCTGCCCACGGAGTCGGAGCTGCCGGGGCTGTGCCGGGAGAGCAGCTCCGCGCCCGCCTTGCGCGGCTCCGCCGTCTCGCTGCAGCGCCGCTTCCAGTAGTTGAGCTCCTCCCGGTCGGCCTCCTGGCAGCGCCGCAGCACGGCCATGGAGCGCCGCGTCTTCTCCACCATCTCCATGATGCAGTTCAGCGCCTGCGGGAGAACGCGGCGCTCTCAAAGTCCCGCTCGCCAGGTCGTTTCCCTTCCCTGCGGTGACCGGCGACGGGACACGGGGGAACGGCCTGAAGTTGTGTCAGGGCAGGGTCAGGGTGGAACTCAGGAAAAGGTTCTTCCCCCAGAGGGTGGTTGGCACTGAACAGGCTCCCCAGGGCAGTGGGCACAGCCCCAAGGCTGACAGAGCTCAAGAGGCGTTTGGGGCCTCTTCATCCTCTGGGGCACAGGGGAGACTCTTAGGGATGGTCCTGTGCAGGGCCAGGAGCTGGATGCAATGATCCTTGTGAGTCCCTTCCAACTCAGCATATTCTGTGATTCTGTGATCCCAGATGTCTCAGAGGTGCCATGGAGGGACCACCCAAGGCAGATGAGACAGCAGGGAGGCAATTTCGGTATCTGGGATGATGCAGTACTCAGACAGGGTGCCACAGCCAGGGATGCAGCACCAGGTGGGGAGGAGGAGGTCACACCTGCACCCTAAGGCCTTGGTCACCACAGAGAGTGGCTAAACACCTCCAGGCCATGCTACTGAAGGTAGAGGGGAAAACCCCACCACTTTCCTCTGGGGGTTGGGTTGGCTGTGATCCTGGTGCCAGCTCTCTACAGCCACAGCTAACTCCAAATACTCAGCTATAGGGTCTCGCTCCACCCCAACCCCATCCCCTCCAAAAAAACCATTAGCTTTAGATCATGATATGTCTCTGCATTTATGATCAAAGCTGAATTTCAATCCCATCTCTTTTAGGGAAACGCTCCAGGGAAGTGCTTGGAAGAACAGCCTTGCTCAGAAGGAAAAAGCTCAGCTTAAAGTCCACCACCAGAAGCACCAAGTCTTGCTGTCAGTGCCTTGTTGTGGCCCATAAAAAGCTGGCATCTCAGAAAAGAAAGTATTTAAAACAATAATGATGGGTTTACTCATTTTTAATGTCCATATCCTGATGGCATATAGCACATCTACATGCTTGTTGGTCCCATGCTAGCCAGGGCTGTGGCAGGAAAGACCAAAAAGCCAAGGGACCTTGTGAGACCTGGGGACAAGGCCAGGTTTGTTCGCTCAGACAGCTATGGCTGTGATCTGCAGGAAAAGCTTTCCAGCTCCAGACACTTCATCCACACTGATTTTGGCTTCTCCTGACCATGAGAAGAGAAAACCTGCCAGGGAAGTGCTACAGCTCCTATCCACCCTCCCCACCATCCACCTTCCTGTGGCAGCTCGTTCCTCTACCAGCCACCAGGAGAGCCTGAATATAGTGCCAACAACAAGGAAATCACAAACTGGAGCAGGTGGAACAACGGGTTGCTGCATCCCACAGAGCTTCCCCCACCTCCTGCCATTACTTACGTGATCGAGATGCTTCCACTCGTCAGCCCATTCCCTCTCTGTTAAGCGGTGATCCACCAGCTCGTCCTGGTACCCTCCATTCAAACCTGCAACGAGCCACAGCCAGAGAGGGATTAGATGGACCAACTGTTTGCAGTGCTCCAAGGGACAATAAAAGAGCTCTACTTCCAGCTCCATACAGCTGGGATCTTAAAACACATCTCAGGGCGGTGGCTCTACAGGGGCAATTCCATGCTGGTGCTTTTTCATCCCTGTCTGTGTCACTGTCTGGAAAGTGCTACAATCCACTTGTGGCTCTGGTTCTGACCTGCCTGTGGAGCTGGTTCCTTTGTTATAAACAAGAGAGCTCAGAGCTTGTGATTCAGGCTGTCCTGTTGGAAAAACAGCATGCATCTCCCACACACCTAAGGGAGAAACGGGGCAGGGGGTCAGGCTCTGCCCTCCTGATATTGGAAATGTTACTTTTACTTCCCTGCCCTACTGGGTTGGCTACACTCAGCTCACACACCAGATCCTTCCTCCTCATCCTCAGTGGCTCCAGTCTTCACACATATACAGGGAAATACAAACTTTCAATCCTCCTGTTTTTAACTTTCCATGGCGAGTTGTTTCCTCTGAATTCCCTGCAAAAACTCTGCTGAGGACGTGCCCAGCACTACACAGCTTTGGGTGGCCGAGCGGGGACCGACACCAGAGCTCAACAAAGAGCCCTCCAGTCTCTCTCACCAAGCCCTCCGTGCCTGTCCCGGATCTCTCTGTGCTCCAACATCTTGCTGGGGTCCCTGTAGAGGTGGGAGGTGGCGATATCTTCCAAGGTGTAGTGCTGGAGGGGTGGCGGGGTGGGGTGGAACTGCCCGCTGGGGTTCATCAGGGGGATGGTGAGGGCAGGGCTGTGCCGGGGCGCGGGGCTGATGGTGCACACCCTCTTGGCCGGGGGCTCTGTCGGCAGTGGTTCCCTCTCAAAGCTGCTGTCTTCCCTCCTGCAACCACACCAGCACGGACAGGCCTTCATTAGCATCCCACAAACGCACTCAGAAGGGGAAAGACGCAGTTTTTGAATCAGCAGAGTCTGGGCAGAGATGATTTTACCGGGGGGTTAATGCAGGGAGCTCAAACAAACACACTCAATTTGTGAAGCGACGCACAGAGTGACCCCGTCAAAGGAAAGGCTCAGGACGCCCGAGTGTTGTGATTCATCTTTCTGAGCATGACCAAATTAAAATTTCACAGTTTTTATGAATTTGAGGCATGCTCCACATAATTACATAACAACTTTTATCTTGGAATAAAAAGTGGTGAAAATGAACCACATCCTTCTCCCAGCCCTGCCAGTGCCTCCATTTACTGCTGGGGTGGTGGAAAACCGCTCAGCTCTCCAGCTCTGGCTTTTCAATGCTACCCAAAAGTCCCTCTGGGACAGAACCTGCCTGAAAGACGAACACAACCTGAATTCACAGTGCAGGAGCAGCAGCCATTGGTGTCTTTTTACAGCCAGAATAGTTGTTGGGAGTGATAAGACCCTGGATGCTGCTTGAAAATGAAAACCACGACTTCAACGACTTAGAGAATGACAACAGCTGTTTTTACCTGTCTGGACTGTGCCTCTTCCCATTGCCGTTCACCTCGATGAGCAGCTCGGAGGAGTCGGCGGGGGACGTGGTGTTGGTGTTGAGCAGGATGTGCTCGTGCTGTGCCAGGTACTGGGAAGGTGTCTGCTTGGCAGCGCGGGCACAGTGCAGCAGCTCCCGCTGCAGCAGCGGGAGGTTGGCCTGGAAAACAAGCACAGGTCTGGATTACAGAGGGGGCAGGAGTTTCCAGCCAGTCCAGAAGGTTTGCTCTTCTTCATTAATACCTCAGAGCAGTAACGCCTGTGCCCCCCACTCAGGATCCTCCAGCTCCTGGTGTCTGCACTGACAGACTCACCTGTATTTTCCCAGGAACCGAGGATGGTCTGATATCAGTGCACCCAAAACCCAAGTGTCACAGGAATCACTGTGCTTCCACCATCTAGTTACCCAGAGAGGTTGTGGACTCCCCATCCCTGAAGGTGATCAAGACCAGGCTGGACGGGGCTTGGAATAACCTGGTCAGGTGGAAAGTGTCCCTGCCCATGGCAGGGGGGTTGGAACCAGATGAGCTTTAAGGTCGCTTCCAACCCAAACCACGCTGTGATTCTGCAATCTGCACACCCCAGACATGCTCCATGTGCCAGCACTTCAAATATTCTAGATCTGAGCTGCCACATGGAGCTTGGTTTGTCTCCTTTATCCCCAGCACACAAGCAGACATAAGTGGCACACGTTCCAGCTTGCTGCAAGCCACCACCGCGGTCTGTGCAGCCTGTCTTGGACCTTAACAAAACCGCTGTGGTGCTTGCAAGGAGAGCTTTCCCAGCAATGTCACGCTGCCAAGCAGCACAGGCTGGCACACGGAGCACCAGCAAGCCCCAGCAGCTCCCTGTCACCTTCAGAAAGGGGATCACAAACGGCCGCAGGGGGAAGTTGGTCGCCTCTTGCAGCTTGCAGTGAAACTCCTCAATTGTCACCGTCGAGTTCTGAGAAAAGAAATTAAGAGATGAAATGACAATTTGTTCTTATTTTTAGACATATGGGAAACAGCTCCAAAGGAACAGAACCGGGAGGGTGACTGCATCTGCCACGACAGGGCTGGCAATGTTTGCATCGCATCCTGCCGAGCGCGGCCAAAAAGGCTCAGGCCAGCGGAGCAGGAACACTGCACCCGGAGAGGGTGGGAACTGCCTGGCCCAGCATCCTCCCAGCTCTGGGGCTGGCAGGTAGAGGCTGTCTCTGGGAGGCAGCACAACCCAGCTGGCATCTCCTGCACGCTGGCCCAGTGGCCTGGGGCAGGCTGCAGGGAGCCAGTGATCCCAGCTGCTCAGAGCTGCACACTCTCCTTCCTTCCAGCTCTCCTCCTCTAACCTAAGGACCATCCATGAAGTCTCCATCAGCTCACCACGATCCTCCCCTGGCCCAGCCCTGCACCCCCTGGGGCTGTTCAGGCTGGGGGCTCCCTCGGACAAGCAGCATTTAGTAACCTGCTTGTACAAAGGTCATCCCTGCAGCAATTACCACAACCCAGGATGGACCTGGACAGCTTATCACTTCCTCTCCAATTGGGTAAGCTAAGATACTACCCATGGAAGTATCTATGCTACATAAATGAGCAGCAGCTCAAGCACTGAGAATGCTCCTGAGAACATGGACAGACCCACATTTGCAGCCCATTCCAAAAATGGAAGCAGAAATGCTCCAGGCTGCTGCAGTCTAGTGACCTTCACTGCACGCTGAGCCTCAAAAGAAATGTGCCAAAAAGCAGAGATCAGCTCAGGAGCCCCACTGGGTGACCCATGGGACCGAAGCTGGCCAGGCTGTGTGGTGCTGGGCTCCAGGGCCTCAGTCCAAGGTCACAGAATCCTAGAATAGTTTGGGTTGGAAGTGACCTCAAATCTCATCTCGTTCCAACCCCCTGCCATGGGCAGGGACACCTTCCACTAGCCCAGGTTGCTCCAAGCCCTGTCCAACCTGGCCTTGGACACTTCCAGGGATGGGGCAGCCACAGCTTCTCTGGGCAACCTGTGCCAGGGCCTCCCCACCCTCACAGGGAAGAATTTCTTCCTAATATCCAGTCTAAACCTACTCTCAGTTTAAAGCTACTCCTGCCTTGTCCTATCACTCCACACCCTTGTAAAGCACGTAGAGCATAATGTCTAACACACTGCACAGCATTTCTCTCAGTCTGTATAACTGCAAATACTGGGTACAACTCCACAGCTACACCCATTCGTTTGGGTTGGAAGGGTGTTCTCACGGCAGGGGGTTGGAACGAGATGATCTTTAAGGTCCCTTCCAAGCCAAACCATTCTGTGATTCTATAATTTACAGAAAAGCTTTGTCCAAATCCTTCCAGGTTTCCTCAAGACTAGCTGCACACGAGGCTCACATCAAAGCCACTGGACAAACAGCTTTTTGAAACCCACTAGAGATAAGAAAAAAGAAGTCAGCAAGTTTCCCAGAAAGCACAAACATGACAGTCTTGCTCAGCCCCCAGCTCTGTTTGCAAAGACACAGAGAACATTGTGGGATGGGGGCACGTGCTGGCTGCTGAGATCCCATGGCCAAAGTGCTCTGGGAAAATCCAGGCAGCCTGGGCTGGTGCAGGACTTACCACCAGTGCCAGGACGAGGGTCCGGACCTTCTCCCCGATCTCCGGTGAGATGTCGTTGCCAAACTGCTGCAGGGTGGTGAGGAAGCGCTTCAGCTTGCTGAGCTGCCGGGCACCACACGTGGCTGGGAGCTGCTGGTTTGTCAGCGAGGAGGAGGAGGAGGAGGAAGGGCCGTTGCTGAACCTCTGGGGCGGGGATGGTGCTCCATTCAGCGTCGGGGGGGAATGGTTGATTCCGTTGGGCACTGCAAACGGGAGAAGGAAGCGACACTGAGCATCAGGGGGGCACATCCCTGTGGTCTGGTGCTTTCCACTCAGGATGGCAGCTCAGGTGCCTCCACCTCACCCCAAGGGGCGCTGACAGATCCTGCCCCAGCAGCGCCCGCCACCCGTCCCCACCCCAGGGATTTACAGGGAATTTCGCAAACGTTGTTGTTTTTAACAACCTGGTCCCATCTGCAGCTTTGCCTCCTGAAATTGGTGAGCACGTCAAAACAGACTGAAGGGCTGGAAGTCTGGGAACTCAGCAAGGGATTAGAATAAACTGTTGACATCCCTGGGCCGTGGTTGTGCAATCCTGAGTCCTGTCTGATGAGCAGCTGTGCACCAGGGCCCCAACTTGGTATAAACCCAGGATTTCAGAGGTGAAAAGCACATCATTGGAAATATAGCCGTTGCTGATCCACTGGGTTATCCTTAAAAGCCCAACCCTGAATCCCTTATGGATGTAAGTGCTGACAAAGAGGCCACAAGCTGTAAAAACCATTGCAAGAGAAGCCCTGATGCCACCCAACAGCATTGCCTTTGGCCCATGGGAGGAGCAGCAATTTGAAAAAAAAAAAAAAAAAAAAGGCCAAAACTTCCACTGCAGCTTCACGAGGATCATATCAAATCGTGCTGAACCCAGTGAGGGGTTTTTCAGAGAAGACAGGAGGCACTGGAACAGTTAAACCACTCTGGGGCACACCAGGGCCGGAGGCTGGAAAGGCTGCACACACCTGGACCTTAGTGGTGAGCACAGGAGGGAAACTTAACCAGAGTCAGTTAAGATGCAAGGAAAGATAAGGCTACTGAGACCATCAAAGGTGGTTCCTGCTAACCAAGGGCTGACAGGCTCTTTGGGGGATAACAAAAACGTGACCTTTCATAGACTGAGAAATGACGAGGTGAAGGTGAAGGTGAAAGCCAGGACTGAGAGGATGGAGGTGCAAAGGCAAAGTGAGCTCATGCCTTTTGTTATGGAGAAAAGCAACCTGGAAAACTGTCCACACTGGCTTCCCCAAAGTGGCAAAGGTACAGGGATGTCAGGGAGTACCCACAGGGTTAGTTAGCATGGAGTACCAGAAAAACCAGAGCTATGTGAAGGGCAAGGGCTCTGACAATTACCCATGAAGGCATTTATTTCCCAATAAAAGTGTTATAAATAGGAGGGAAGCCGCCCAGAGAAGCTCCCCTCAAACAGCCAAGGGCTGTGCAGCCCCACGCTCTCCGACAGCCACAACTGAGGCGCTTTCCCCCTTCTCTATTTCACTTCCTCTTATTCTTTCAGATGAAAACCTGAGGAGAGCAACGGGCTCTATTTATACCCTGGGAGAAGCAGGGGCTGGGCAATTCCTGGGGGCTGCGGGGGACCCTTGGGAGAGGCTGCCAAGGGAGTAGGGGACATTGCCAGCGCGGGGTGATCCCCGGAGCGGAGTGAGCCGGGCCGGGGCTGTCGTTACACGCAGCCCCCGTAACCGCTCCCCGTCTTTGGGCTCACCCCTCCTGACCCTCTGCCAACGGCGTCACCACAGGGCAGCTGGCAGTTATCTGATCCTGCACATCACCAGGAGCTGCTCCACCACAGCCCTCACAGCCGGGCTGGGACCTGCCTTTCCAGGTGAGAAGACAGCACTGAAGCGAACGAGGCGGCGTCCCCAGACCAGGGGGATTACTGGTGTGGGGAGAGGAGGATGATAAACTCCTGGGAACAAAGTCATCCTCTCGAGCTACGCCTAAATTCTGCCTTAGGTCCTCAAAAGTCACAAGGTTTTGCTGCTTCTCCAACTCTTTGTTAGCGATCCACAGGTAGGCAAGGCTTTGTTCCAACATGCTCCTCTCACCTGCCCAAGCTGTGGGCTTTGACAGGGCAAGACACACACTCACTGACTCTTGACCAAGCCCCTCTGGTGCAACTGAGAAATAAAAAAGCAAGAACGAACTTCACCACAGGTCGCAGCTCTCATCTGTCTTGGAAAGAGGCAATTAAGTCATCTGCAATCAGCAGATTCAGGTTTCTTGGCCCTTAACAGCATGCCAAGCATCCTCATTGGAAAAATTAATTTCTGTCACTTTGCTAATGGTCTTTTTCTGCCTGAGCAAAAGGAGAGCCATTAAAAATCCCTCAGCACATAAAGATGGGGACAATGTGTCTGGTGGGATAACCCAGTGATTAGTGCTGTTGCCAGCATCACGCAGCACATCAGTGTGTGTCCTCCAAGAGGCTGGATTGTAAATCCCCGAATCCCACTGCCAGTGTGGAACTGTGAGATAGCCCAGACGCTGTCATGGACAGCAGAGCAATGCAGAGCCAGCTAGGGAACACTCTGTGCAGGGAAAAAGGGGCAAGAAGGGCCTGGAAAATATGTACCCGCCATGTGCAGGGGTCAGATAACTCCACGACCAACAAAGTAAAGCAGCTTTGCTACGAAATGATGCTTTTAAGAAGACGTTAAATGGCGTAAATGTTGGCTAAGGGAGGAAAACAGAGGCCATACAAAAAGGCTGGAGGTTCATCCCATCTGTGGATCACCTCTAAGCAACACCCTGCTAGAAAAAGTGGGTGCAAGGCTGTGCTATGGCTGGGCAGGATCAGGATCGACCGTGGCTTAATAGGAAAGATTATACAGAGAAGATGGAGAAAAGAGAATCTGGATGGACAGCAAGGAATTTTCAAGGCTGGGAAATTAAAAAAAAGAAAAACTTTCTAATCGCAGCTGCAGGAATGCTGTCTGCAAAGTGAGATACAGCAGAGTGGGAATTAACTCCTCCAGAAGATAGAGTGAAAAGCCCAGCACTTGGCTTGTTTGAAGCCGACCTGATAAAAGACTTCAATTTCTTAAGGAGTTTATGGTGGAAATCAAAGCTGCACCTGCAAAGAGAAGGACTCAAGGCAGCACCAGGAGCAAGATAGGAGCAGGCAGGGGGGCAGAGGGGGAATACAGACATCCTTCTTGCATTGCAGAACAGCAGGAAAGCCCCAGTCCCACCTTCCTAACAACAGCAACCCACAGCTAACGCTAACAGCTGAGACAGCCCCAGTGAGTGCTCTGAGCACAGCCTTCCCTCCTGGCTAGAGCTAATCCCTGGGAGAAGCACAGCTACTGGGGTCTTACGTGCAGTCGGAGTGAAGGACACGGGCCGGGGTCCGCCGGGGTTCACGGGGGGCAGCGGCGGCATGTTGGGAGGAGAGGACCTGGACTGGATCTTCACTTCCACGGGCGAGCCGGGCATCACTGGCACCCTCTTCTCACCAGCAACTGTACCAAGAGAAGGTGGCAAGGCTTAGTGACAGTCAGGGACACGCGTTTCCCCGCCCAGCACACGAGCAGTCGCACGGGTGAAGATAAGAGGCGGGAGGGAAGGCACGCAAGGTTCCCACAAGGTTCCCACACTGCTCCGTGTGGCCCCAAGCTGCTGAGGGAAGAGGCAGGATACGGCCCTGAGCTGGGACAGGCACGCTGGGTTCATGCTCACAGTGTCCATGCCCACCACTCCAGTCTCCTGACAGCATCTTCTCACCCCTTGTGCCTGAAGATGCTTCTTCAAAGTATTTCTGCACATTTGCTTCACTTTGCCCCCATTTAAGATCCCCCTGAGACTCCCCAGATGTGCCTACATGCTCGTCACCAGCACAGAGCCTCTCCAGAGGGATCACAACCTCTCAGACCTATGCAACAGGTAACCTGGATTTGTGCTGTGCCAGCAAGGGACCAGAATGGGCCTGGGGTTGCAGAGCTGAACTGACATCAGCCATTCACATCCTCTCCCTTGCGTGCAGTCTCTAGGGTCTGACACATCACCTCACACTGTGGCTTCCCTTCCAGCCTCTGAGGGACATCCCAGCTCAGGGGAACAGTGTGACCACACTCCCAGCTCTGGTGGCTGGGATCAGCTTCACAAGACATCCTTGGATGAAAACAAGAGAAAAAGGAGGAAATATGTGTTTAAGCAAGTCTTGGGGTTCTGGGGGACATTTTTTTTTTTGGAGGGGTGTGTTTCGGGGTATTTTTTTTGTTCTTTAAATCCAGACAACTCAGCAGAAAAAGTCTAAAGATCTCCACAGCACAGCTCCTGTGGGAGCCAACACCATTCCAGGGGTGCTCTGTATCGCACTGCCAGTGTCTCCGGTGTCCCTGATCCCAACAAATCATCCCTCTGAGATCGTGGTCTCCACTCCCTGCTCCTCGAGCTGCCCCTCGCCTCGTTCAATTAGCTCACTAACGAGCTGTGACCGTGCTCTAGCACGTGCTGCACGGGAACACCACGGGGTGTTCCCAGCACATCCACCTGCACCCCAACTCAGGCAGGGAGGGAGGTGCAGACACTCAACTTCCACCTCTCTGGTGATGCACGCTGGGCTCCGGACAGCTACAGTCTGATTTGTAACCCACAGTTATTACCAGTATCTGTCAGCTGTAAGAAATTCAGCTTTCCAGTCCTGGCAGAGCGATTAAATGCTGTATTCCCATAAAGCACTGAATACATGGCAAACTTGTGCGCTGAAACACAACCACAAAACCTGCTACTTCAACTCCCAACAACAAAAACGCTGCTTTGGAGAGCAGAGAAAACACAAACTGGCACCTGAGCCCTCGTGCTGCTGCCTGGGATCTGCTCTGTCAGCCCCCAGCACCTGCTCTGCCACCGAGCTGCCTCATTTATTCTCCTTATGGCAAGTCGTGGGTAATGCCAGAGAGGTAACAAATGAACTTTGTTATTCCTAACGGGTTTTTTTGTTGTTGCTGTTCTTTGCAGGAAGGGGAAGCAGAGATGATACACACTGAAAACCCATGTTTTCCTGCCCTGTCAGTGCAGGTGGAATAACAGGGGCAGTGGGGCTGGAATTGCTATAGGAGCCACATACCAGAAGGTTTGTGTCTTCATTTGTCTAAGCCTGCTTTCAAAAAGAAAGGAAAAAATTCTAAGCTTTTCTTTCAGGACGTGGGGAGACACTGAAGCCATAGGAAACTACTGTTAACATATAACCCCCCTATTAATGCCATATTGCAAACCACTATTCATATACATTTGGTCCAACTACAATACAATTGAACCTTTAAGTGCAGACTCTTCCTGTCATTCCTGTGCATGAATATGATGTTCCAATGAACAACCATGTTGCTAAATGACCTATATTTTTCAATCAAAACAGCACTAATTGTGCCTATCCAGCACTCAGTGCTAGCTGCCTGATGACCACTCAGGGACCCACTGCCACCCTCCTGCCTCCTCTGATCTTCTTCCCATGAAAACCCCTTTTCCAGGTGTATGTGGCCAACATGATATTGCCATGCCTTAGAGAGAAACAGCATGAAACTAATCCTTAAGTTTTCTCCTCCTTCCTCCTAAAATGCTCCAGGGGCACATTACAAAAGCAGAACTAATTTGGTTAATTTACGGGGGGGGAATAAATTTCAAAAGGAGTTTACAGCCCAAAAATAAAACCAGCTACTGTGTGAGACACCAAAACCAAAGCCCACAAGAAGCCAACACCTTCTTTTCCAAGCCCACTCCGACAGACAAGAAGCAAACAGGATTGTTAAATTTAAAAGCTTCCTGCTAATGACCTGGGGCATCTATAAATGCAGATAAAAACCATCTTTCTAAAGCTCCCCATTTTTAGCCTAAACACATCCATTTAATGAGAATCATGTGAGCAAATCAGACTGTGACCAAGGGCTTGAGTCAGCCTTGAGTTGACCTGGGGCTAAAAATGAGCCAGGGAGCTGATCCCTGGGGAAACGCTGCCTTCCCGGCCTCATTCTTCCGATTTCACCACTCAGAAATATTTACTGGCTCACCAACAGCAACATTTCAGTGCTGCCTCCAGATGTGCAGGGAGGATGCTGAGATGCTCCTCCAAATGTCTCCAAGTCACTCCACCGTGTCACTTAGCTGACTCCTAAAGAGTCAAATGCTGTCACAGATTTTGGATGATGCTCTAAGAAGAATAATTCTTGTCAATGACTGAATACACCAAGTGTCACAGCAGGACACCTGCCCAAACTGGAAACGTTGGGCTGTTTCCCTTCAAAAACTCCTTCCAAACCCCACCTGGATTAGAAACACTCACAATGCTGTCGCCACTTTCCAAGCAGTGCCTGCAGGAGCAGATCCAACCTGTTTATGGCACAATACTTTTGCTGTCGAGCTGCCAAACGCCAAAGCTTCGCAGTGACACGTGCTCAGCTTTGCACCAGGCCCTGCCCAGGTTAACCAGGGAAAGAGGCAGCAGTGACACGGCCACCCAGGCGGGTGGGAGAGCTGCCTTCCCGGCCTGGAACGCTGGAGATTCACACGGGAAGGCGATTCAACTGGAGTAAAACAAAACCCGATCGTGACGGTGCTGTTTCAGTCTTGGCTTGATGTAAGAATTCCGTCTTCTCCAAATGGTGGTGGAGCTGCAGAGCAGATTTCACAGTGCCGAGTTCCCGATTTCAGATGCTCGAGCTGCCAGCTGGGCACGGACAGCTGCAGGCACAGACCACTCTGTGCTCCTGCCCTATATACTCGTGTGTCCCATTTAAGGAGCCCAGGTGTGCAAGGGACCAGAAAGCCCCAGAGCTCTGACTATACCTGGAAGCCTTCCTTCCCCCCGTGACACGCTGCAAAGCCCCTGTTTCATGTGCCCCCACGCCACCCTATTTCCTTCCCTGCTCCAGTTCTCCTCCCGGCGTAACAAAATTAAAAAGGAACATATGTCGAGATTAAGTTCAGCCGATGGTTTTCCTTTCTGGAGAGGAGAAAGGGCAAAGGGAGACAACAGGACAAGATGCCAGGAGAAAACCTGGGGTCTTGATTGACCCTCAGGGAAGTCCCACTCCTGCAGCCCAAGGGACTAAGGCTCCAGCTCTCCAACACCACAGCACATTTCAGAGGGGGCAGTTTCAACACACACTTGAGACAGATTTCATCCTATTTATCTTCTTCAAGAACTTTACCACCTATGGTGTTTAGCACAAAGAGAGTGTTGCTGTGACAGGTAACCTATGACAAACAGCCAGCATTTGCTTGCACTGTAAACTCTATAAAGAAGCTGCTTTATTAATCTCTTCATGCCTGTGGGTTTGAGAAAAAGGAAAAGGCACAAGAAAATAAACAGTGATAAGTTAGGGAGTATCTCAAGTACACTGGAATTCAAATTAATCCTTTAATTCCTTTGGCAGTTAAAGAATAGACTAAGCCACGAAAAAGAAACAAAAACACTGCATGAGGAGAACTGGATGTTACCTTCCCTCAAAAAGCAAGATAACCACAAAAGAGCGATAGGAATAACCCTGGGGGCAGACGGACACAAATGGTCTCCTCCCCATCCTCTTCCCAAAGCTCAAAACACAGTTCCAACAGTCAGCAAGATAACACCACAAGGTGTTCCACCCTGCTCAAGAGAAAGCCTTGACCCAGCTCCCATGGCAGAGCTGTGAATTTGCCAAGATCAAGGGAAGAGAGGAAGAGCCACTGCTCCAGTGCAGAAAACATGGGTGCTTTATATCAATTTGCACTGCAGTGTCTGCACAATTTAATCCAGTCACCTCTGCACATGGAGTGTGTACGGGCTTTAAACCCTGCTATCAGCAGTCCAGCCTTTCCTCCTCCCCCTGGGACAGGGATTTAAAGCCCGTGGCTGAGTGTCTGGAGTGCTTGTACAGCAGGAATACTGACATCTTCAAGCCATTCCTGATGCAGGGGTAGGATTCCCCTTGGTTCCCCGGCACCAGAGTTAAGAAGGAAGGAGGAACCTGCCTGCCCTGGGAGCAATTTTGTAGCTCCTGTTTATAAATAAGCTGCACAGAGTCAGAAGTGCATCTCACCAATCCATCTGCCGGCCTAGAGCACTCCCGGCTTTTTGCAGAGGTCAAAACATGAAACATCTTGGAAGAAATAAGAGAAAACCACGAGACAGCCCTGCAACTATGCCCAGGTAAGCTTTGCTTTTCCTTTTGGCAACTTCAGAACAGAGAGCAGACTCAAAATCAGATCTCATCAACAAAGCTTTGACCACTAAGTGGTCATATCTGAAAACCTGTAAATTGACTAAGTTTTGGGGTTGGCTGATATTTTTGAGGGAAAGCCTGTGTACAAGAGTCTGCCCAGTAGTTCAGAGTCTCAGGAGCAAAAGCATGCAACGGTTTCAGACAGAAAGAAGAGGTTTAATCCGAGCAGATGTTTTTGTCTTTCATCTAGAACAGGCAGAATATGCTCATAACCTAAAATGCCACTCCTCACCTCAAAAAATTAGAAGCCCCAAATTCATACC